CTGGGCAATGATGAAATCAGAGCCTCCGGGGCGGTGCGCACGAGGTGCGTGCACTGGCCCGCCCGGGCCTGGCCTCCAGGGCTGTTGCTTCAGCAGCCACCAGGGGCAGCTGGAGGTGAGCTGCTTCTAGCGCGTTGCCGGAGTAATCGCACTGTGGCGCGCTGTTGCTGCGAGAGCTCTCATTGCCCGCACAACACGACCGACGCAACAGTACGAAAACTCTCCAGACACGGTGACGGGGCCTGCCCCAAGGCGCTGAGCAACACATTGCACGCAAGCAAGGTTGGGCGGGCGGCCGCCCCGAGGGGCGTTTCGATTGCAGAGATTACGCCCTCGTGAAATAATGCGGCGGCAGATATTCATAGATATAATTACGGAGTACAGCATGAGCCAAGCATGGGTTCATTGCCAAATACAAGGACAACAAAGTCAACGACAGGCGCCGCCTCTTGAGGCTGCTTACGTTGTGCTGGTGGATACGAGATGGGGGCGGCTGCCGTGGCTACCGTGGCTTAGACGGCCTCACTGCAATACATTCGCAGCTCGACTAAGGCAGGCCGCGCAGCCATGCCTACCAATCAGGCCTCCTACGGCGCGCTCCTAGATCCAATTACCAAATTACCTGCAAAACATCTCTGTGCTCAACATCCATCACCGCCAAATGCATGCATCTCGTTGTCCCTTCAGAACTTCCCCGTCTGTGTCACGGGCTCGCCGCCCGGCTACCCTAGACTGTGGCGTGGCAATCAGTGGCACCCAAGGCCCGCCCCGCGCTAATTTGGCAGTGCGGAAGGGGGGTTGATACCTGACTTCCCAGGCGCTAGCCCCTGGTTGGCCGCCTGCCGTGCTGCGTGCCTGGTCTCCTGTCGCGCGCCGCGGTCGCACCAAAAGGGAGCAGTTGGAACGGGGGTACGTACCGCCGCTCGTTGCCAGCCTGGCAGAACCACGGCAAGGGGCCGCGATGCCGATGCTCCAGGACACCTACGACTTCCCACAATTTCCAAGGAGAGCTTCAACCCGACGACACAACGAGAGCTGCGCGCATCGTCGAGCCTGCACAACCCGCCTCGACTCCCCTCACAGACGCAGCAGCTCACCTCCGTCTCCCGATCAAACCAGTAGCTGCCCCTGGGTTCCTCACCGCCAGCTGTCTGTCCGCAAGGTCGCATGGTGCCACGACGACATTGTCGACCGCCCCCCACCACCGACATTGCAGTATAATCGTCTGTCGCCGTCAATCGACTTCTATACAGGAGATTCGCTTGCGCTGGCAGATACCCAGCACCCGCATTCGCCATGAGACTGGACGTCAAGGTCAGTCTCTCGACCCGTCCCTCACCGACCCCTCCCGATTTCCACAGTGCCGCATGACAGCCGATTCGGAAGGAAATCACTGACTTGGGCCTCACTGCAGCGCCAGCTCTATGCTCGCAGCGAGCGAGTCAAGGGCATAGACTTTCATCCTCAGGAGCCATGGATTCTCACCACCCTCTACAGCGGTATGCATTGCCCTAATGCCACGGCCTCAATTGGGGCACAACTCGAGTGCTGACGCGCCCCTCTCTAGGCCACGTCTACATCTGGTCGTACGAAACGCAACAGACTGTCAAAACCTTCGAGCTCACCGATGTCCCGGTGCGTGCCGGTCGATTCATCGCCCGCAAAAATTGGATCGTTTGCGGTTCCGATGATTTCCAATTGCGTGTCTACAACTACAACACGTCCGAGAAGATCACGTCGTTCGAGGCGCATCCCGACTACATTCGAGCTATCGCCGTCCACCCGACGCTCCCTTTTGTACTCACTGCCTCCGATGACATGACCATCAAGCTCTGGGACTGGGACAAGGGCTGGAAGTGCGTCCAGGTCTTTGAGGGCCACAGCCACTATGTCATGGGCCTCGCCATCAACCCCAAGGACACCAACACGTTTGCGTCGGCCTGTCTAGATCGCACAGTCAAGATCTGGAGCCTCGGCTCCGGGACTGCCAACTTCACGCTCGAGGCGCATGAGACCAAGGGCGTAAACCACGTCGACTACTACCCCCACTCGGACAAGCCGTACCTCCTGACGGCCTCTGACGATCGGACGGTCAAGGTCTGGGACTACACCACCAAGTCCCTTATCGCCACCTTGGAAGGCCACACCAACAACGTCTCTTTCGCCTGCTATCACCCCGAGCTCCCTGTCATCATTTCCGGCTCTGAGGATGGCACGATACGAATTTGGCACGCCAACACTTATCGCTTCGAGCAGTCGTTGAATTACAGCCTCGAGCGAGCTTGGTGCGGCTCATACCAGAAGGGAAAGCAGGGCATAGCTGTCGGCTATGACGATGGTGCCGTGGTTATCAAGCTGGGTCGGGAAGAACCGGCCGTGTCCATGGACACGTCGGGCAAGCTGATCTGGGCGAGGCACAATGAGGTCGTCTCATCCATCATCAAAGGAGGCAAGCATCCCCACCTCGGAGGCTGACTCCTTGTGCTAACAGTTGCTGCAGATGCGTCACTCAAGGACAACGATCCCATATCTCTGCCGACCAAGGACCTTGGAACCTGCGAGGTGTACCCGCAGACCCTCATCCACTCGCCTAATGGCCGATTCGTCGCTGTCTGTGGCGACGGCGAGTACATTATCTACACGGCACTGGCGTGGCGAAACAAGGCTTTTGGCTCTGCCCTCGACTTCGTGTGGGCCTCCAAGGAGAACAGCAATGACTTTGCCATTCGCGAGTCGCCCATGAGCGTCAAGGTGTACAAGAACTTCGTTGAGAAGAGCGGCGGCTTGGATGTCGGCTTCCAAGCAGAGGGCCTGACGGGTGGCATCCTGCTGGGTGTCATTGGGCAAGGCGGCATCTCTTTCTTCGACTGGAACACGGGCGGCCTTGTCAGAAGAATCGAGGTTGAGCCGAAGCACGTACGTAATCACTCTGTCCCCTTCATGCCCTAGTACTAACTATGTGCAGGTTTACTGGTCGGAGAGCGGCGAGCTCGTTGCCATTGCCTGCGAGGACACCTGCTATGTCCTGAGATTCTCTCGTGAGAACTATGTCGAGGCTGTTCAGGCTGGCCAAGTCGAGGAGGACGGTGTCGAGGCCGCCTTTGCAGTCATTACCGACATTAGCGAAGGGTGAGTATCCATGATAACTTTTTGGCACACAAGACTAACGGAGATGCAGTGTTCGGACGGGAGAGTGGGTTGGCGACTGCTTCATTTACACCAACCAGACCAACCGACTCAACTACCTCGTTGGTGACCAGACTTACACGGTGTCTCATTTCGACAAGCCGATGTACGTTCTCGGCTACATTCAGAGGGACTCGCGCATCTACCTCGCCGACAAGGATGTCAACGTCACGTCCTTTGCCCTGTCTCTCCCTGTCCTTGAGTACCAGACGCTGGTGCTTCGTGAAGACATGGATACGGCGGCGGAACTGCTGCCGACTATCCCTGCGGACCAGCTCAACAAGGTTGCGCGGTTCCTGGAGGGCCAAGGCCACAAGGAGCTTGCGCTGGAGGTCGCGACGGACCCCGAGCATAAGTTTGATCTTTCACTGGCCCTGGGCCAGCTGGAGATTGCCCTGGACTTGGCGCGCAAGGCCGACGTGGACCACAAGTGGAAAACTGTCGGTGACGCAGCGCTAGCAGGATGGGATGTGGCACTCGCGGCCGAGTGCTTCACGCATGCCAAGGACTTGGGCTCGCTGCTCCTGTTACACTCGTCGACGGGCAACAAGGAGGGCCTGGCGGCACTCGCAGCGCAGGCCGTGGAGAGCAACGCGCACAACGTGGCGTTCTCATGCTATTGGCTTCTGGGCGACATCGACCGATGCGTCGAAGCGCTGACGAAGACGGACCGCTTGGCGGAGGCGGTGTTGTTTGCACAGACATACAAGCCCAGCCTCGCAGTACCCCTCGTCAAGGAGTGGAAGGAGAGTCTGGAGAAGAACAAGAAGGCCCGGGTGGCCAAGCTGATTGGCGTTCCGGACGAGGACGAGGACCTCTTCCCCGAGTGGGACGCCTGGCTGAAGGTGGAGCGTGAAGGCGGGGCCGTCGACGAGACTCAGGCGCCGGAGGAGGCGAACGGGGTGGCTCAGGCCATCGAGACGCAGCCAGAGGGTGAGGGTGAGGCTGGGGCTGAGGCCGAGGAAGAGGCAGAGGCAGAGGACGAGGAGTAAAATGGCTTGGCGCATGGCTGTTGGTTATGTAGACGAAGAGCAGCGTGCTCACCCGGTATCGCCTTGGCTGGGACGCCTCGCACGACGCACCATGGTAATGAATGAGTATTCAAAGAGTTTCATGTTTGCGGGCCCTGCGGGTGAGGAGCTGGGCTTGGACGGACCATTCATTTACTGCAGAGGGGCGGTGTCGGCGGTCCCTGGTTACGAGGGTGTTATCGCGTCGTGGTCTTGGATGCGGCAGCATGCACCCCGAAGAGGCACCCGTTTGCTGTCGCCATGACGGATCAGCGGGCCGTTGGTGCGTTCCAATAGTGGGGGTCCGGCGGCTGGGCTGGCGTTACCTTACTAAAACCCGCGCGGGTGGGTGGCTGCCTCGCTGAGGGCGACGGTTGGTGGACTCGCCCGTTGGGGTCGGGCCTTTTTCGCATCCTGGAGCTGGGAGCTGGAGAGAGGTCGGTGGGCGGCTGAAGTGAAGTCCCTGGAAGCCCGGGGCAGGCAGCCGGGCAGGGCAGGCAGGGCAGGCAGCCACCCCGGGGCAGGAGTGGAGGGCAGGACCGCCTGCGGCCGAGCGAACAGACCCGAAATACAGCACCCCCTCCCGCGCCGCTGGGGCAGCCCAGGCGGGCAGGCACCTCCAGCTGCCGCTGCAGCCATCCATGGATATTATTTGATCATCCCATGGCGTGTGCTGCCGCAAGGTGGTGTTCATCCCACCTCCCCGAACAACCCCTCCAGCGGACACAACACCAAACACGAACACGCCTCTCGCAAACCAGGTCCCCTTCTTCGAGGCAAAAGTACGCATACCCGACACGCACAACTCTCGGGTCCTGCATCGTATCTCTACAGCTAGCTTCTTCGTTGCTGTCGACGGGTGGCAGGCGGTTTCCGTGCGTGTCCTGAACAGCATCGCCAGCTCCATCAGCATCGTCACGCGGGCCACCTTCCAGCTTCACCAGGCACTCTGTCGATTTCCAGCTTCCAGCGGAGGGTAGGGGAAGCAAGGGCACGGAGAAGCGTCGTGGGCAGCCTCGTACGACGGCGACGCTGGGCCTGGTTGTCCGCCATGGACGACCCTATGGTGTGGCGCAAGCCAGAGCGCTCGACGCCTGTCTCCAAGGACGCCGTCCGCTCGGCGCCATACACATACCATGCGCCAAGCCCGCCCATGATCGAGATCCCTATAATGCAGCCGTCCGTCCCGGGCAGGGAGCCGGTGCTCAACCTCATGCCGTCCTTTGACAACGTCGACTCGGCCCAGCTCTCGAGCGACGACCTCACCCTCATCACCCGCAACACCACGCAGATCGCCACGGACCGCGCCTGCTCCTGGACCTACGAGCAGCGCCGCCAAGCCCAGTCCATCCTCGACTTCCTCTACCTTGGCCCCATCAGCGCTGTGAGACAACACGACTTTCTCCTGCGCGAGGGCATCACCATGATCGTCGTGGCGCGCGATGTCCGCATGAACCACACCAAGCTGCTCAGCGTCGAAAATGCCAACAAAGTCCTTGGAGTCGCTGTCTGCTACCTCGACATCGACGCGCCGCAGGGTATGATACCGAGCTTCCCGCACGCCATCCGCGCAATCAACGATCACCTGCTGGCCGTCTATCACGCGCAGGCAAGGCAACGCGACGGCCGGGGACAGATGCTCGTCGACGGCTCGCGCTTCCGCGGCGGCAAGGTCCTGGTGTGCTGTGAGTCCGGCAACGACCGCTCGGCAGCTGTCGTGGCGGCGTACATCATGGCCGTCTTCGGCAAGGGCATGGTTCAGACGTTGCAGTTCATGGGCATTCAGCGGTTCTGCTGCTGCTTCGACGAGGACACGAAGCGCACGCTGCAATCGTGGGAGGATATTCTGAGGGCGCGTTCCGCCGTCGCGAAGAACGAGCGGGACAGGACTAGCAGCACCGACCCCATCGACTTCACTGACGGGTATCAGCGGGATCACGCGACTATCGGCGCCCAGGTAAAAAGGCGCGCCAGCGACATGTTGGAACCGGGCGACGAAAGCGCGGACACCGGCGGGACGGACGTCCAGATGATGGACCTCGACCGCTTTCGCGACCGCTGCCCCTTTGTGCCCTTTCGCGACGCCAAGTGAGGGCACACGCCTGGTTTATCTCCGTTCGAACGAGCGCACAGCGTGGTGGGCACCAACTGCGTACGAGAAGCTCCGGACCGGATGTGAAGTGTATCGCCCACCGGAATGACAAGGCCGCTGGGACCTCCCTAAGGTTGGACTCAGCAACTGGCGTTGGCTAGGTCGGATGTTGTCACGATACCCCCACTGTTTCTTTCCCCTTGTTATTTCTTTTTTGATGCATTGAGCCTGGGAGTTTGACCAGCCGTTGGGGGTCGGCCGGTCGACCGGTCGGTCATTTCGTCGTTCTTCTTTTTGGCAATGAGCTACGAAATAGCGTGCGAAGAGAAAACAGAGTACATCATAATTGCATTTACAGGATAGTGGCCGTCGCCTGGATGATGCCGGCGTCGTGCCCATGGGTGGTGGCGGAAGTGGTTGACTGGTATGTCATGGGTTGGTGTACCGAGGGGTAAAGAACAGGCATTGTGCATGCCTTCATAGCGTGGTAGCGATAGGTAGTTACCGGATCGAGTGATGTTCGTTATTGTATTCTCTATATGATGGTGTTACAATTTGTCGTACACGGCACGGCTCGACCATGCCTCTATCCAGTTCCTGCTCGGCCACAAACGCCAAACGCAAGCCAAGGTATTACAACGGCGTCACATCCTACTCGTACATGCTCACCCCTTCTTTACATCTACCCGCCCCGCTCCACGACCTGCGGCTGCGCGTCCTTCTTGTCCAGCGGCCAGTCTGTGACGGGAGGATCATCGCGCTCCTGCTCGAGGCCGGCAGCCACGCCCTCCCCCTCGCCCATCTGCTCCATGCTGAGCTTGCGCGACTGCGCCTGGCGACGCTTCGTCTTGCGCTTGCTCTCGAGCTGCTCCTCGGTGAAGTCGAGCCGGTCGAGCGTGCCGATGAGCTTCTCCTCGACGAGGGAGCGGACGTGGAACGCGAGCGCCTGGCTGCGAAACATGCCCGCGTAGCGGTACGACAGCCACACGTACTGGTTGATGGCCACGTGCAGCGACTCGAGCTTGTAGAGGTACTCCTGGGCGCCGCCCTGGTAGTCGGCCAGGTCGATGTCGAGGAACTCGAGCGGGATCTCCTTGATGGAGAGGAGGTCGCCGTTGGAGTTCTCGGCGACGACGCGCGCGAGGGCTCGCAGGACGTCCACGGCGCCTTCGGCGCGGAGCGCCACAGGCAGGTAGCAGAACGTGAGGCGGTCGTAGATGGTCAGGGGTAGGTCCTGGATGATGTCGGCGATTTCGAGAATGTCGTTGCCAATGTTGAGCCGGTACCGAGTCCCGACCGTTGCGGCGGCTTTAATCCGCATCAGGATGAATGAGAGGGGTGTGTCTGGCGGAAAGTAGGATGCAAATCGCTCGACGATGCCTGCGGGAGGCTGTATGCACGCCGCCTCGATGTCGTCCACCTTCTTCTGAAACGCGCGGTGGACGTTTCGAAGATCAGCGTGATCCATGGTAGTCACGTAGCCAACCTTTTCCTCCTCGGCATCCTTGGCTGCTCCTGAGCTCTCCTTCGCGGCAGACTGCGCTGTGCGATACCGGCCAGCTCTGCCACCAATCTGTTTAATCTCAGGATAAGTGAGGAGACGGTTTTGGTTACCGTCAAATTTGGTGACTGATTCTAGGATGACGCGACGAATCTCCAGATTTAGTCCCATGCCAATGGCATCGCTGGCGACGACGAAATCGTAGTCATTGTCGGGGTCGTTGAACAGCGCGGCCTGTTGGACGCGAACCTCAGGCGGCAACGACCCGTAGATGATGGCACACCGTCTGCCAGTGCGTGTCTCAATGTTGCGCTTTAGGACGTGCAGAGACAGCCGGCTGAACGCGACAATAGCATCGCCCTTTTGCAGTTTGTTGTAGTCGCCCTCGATGGACGAATCCATGGTCTTAAGCGGACTCAGGCGGTCGTAGCGGTGGACAACGCACTTGTCACCGATACTGGCACACAGCGCCTGAATGAGCGTGACGGCGCGGTCCTCGCCACAGAGGTGAACCTCCTTGGCCTGAACGCCCAGCAGCGCCGTCGTCCAGGCGTTGCCTCGCTCAGGATCGGCAATCATCTGGATCTCGTCGATGACGGCGACGTCGAACCGCGTATTGAGAGGCACCATCTCTACTGTGCAGCTGGAGAAGTATTGATCTGTATCCTCCGGGATGCGCACTTCCTCGCCTGTAATGAGAGCGCAGGGGCGGCCTTTCGCTTTCAGTCGTTGATACACCTCGGTGGCCAAGAGTCGCAAGGGGCCAGCGTAGACACCGCATTTGGAGTTCTCCAGGGCCTTGAGGGCATTGTAGGTCTTTCCAGAGTTTGTGGGGCCGACGTGGACGTGAATCGTCCGCTGCATGGTCCGCGTAGCGGGGAACCACTCGTGTGGGAAGCGAAGGTCCAGCAGCCGCTTCTGACTGTCCTCCAGCTCCTTGGAGAAGCGTTGTCGCACGACAAAGGACTGAAACGAGTACTGAATCTCTTTGGTAAGGCCCTTGACGTCCTTCATGATGAACGCGTCACGGAGGTTCCAGAAGAGAGGGTTCTTGTCTCGCCGCGTGACGTTCTGCTCAGCGAGGAGAAAAGCATGATCTAAAGCGTTCATGAAGAGAGCCGCTTGTCTGTTCAGTTCGTCCTCGCCAATGCCAGCGGCCGAGAACTGTGACGACGCCAGTTGAGTGAGCACGACCTGCAGCCGGTGCAAGACAGTAGACCTGAAGACGCCATGACGACCAGTGTACTTTTTGCCAAAGTCCAGTCGCAGTCTGGCCTTGGGATCATGCCCTTGGCTTACCTGAGGGTTCGTTAGCACTCGAACTAGCTGCTGTGGATGGCTCAATGCTCACGGAGTCGGCTCGGGACCGGGCGGCAAACTTGGGAACCGGTTTCGGTTTGGACTCTGCCCGACTCGGGGCAGGCGTCTTTGCAGGAGCTGGCTTGGCCGTGCCTGGGCTGTGAGTCTTAGTCTTGGTTGGGCCGCGGCATGCTGAGAGGGTCGTGGAGAGGACTCGACGACAGGCTGGTTGATGAGAGCCGGTCCTCCATGCCAGTGTTCGGGCCAATTGTTTCATGGCCGTCGCCGTTGCAGGTGGAACATTCTCCTAGACAAAAATGAGACTGTGCATACGAAGAGAGCAAATAGAGACCCAATAAACGAAACGAATCAATGGCGATTGCGTAACAAAATCCGAGAACATGGTGAGTTTCTTGCCATGGCCCTCCAACTCATGTCAGTCGCCCCTGCCCAGCTACAGAAAAATTTCAGGTCACGTGATATCAAACAAGTCCAAAGGCCAGGTCGGAGAGGTTGTACGAAGCAGCGCCCTTCTCAGAGCTCACTGTCAGTAATTTCCTCTGGAACAAATCGCATTTGAGCTTGGAACGCGTCATCTGGCCCGTTCTTTCCTCCGCTTTGTTGCGTGGTAAGGAGCATATTTGCTGATGTGGTCCAGACTCGAGGCTCAAAGGGACAGCCGCGCCACAGCTCGCGCCACATTCACGCACCGCAGAGTACGTAACCGCCAGTGACGTCGTGGCGTCATTCGACCAGCAGCTTCCCATCATCTTAATCCCAACAAGTTCAACGCATCGTCTAGCGGCAACTGGCACCTCTTTTCGTTCATCTGCGCGAAGCTATTGCGACAGCTGATCTCGAGCGCTTGAGCGACCGTTTTTCTCGCGCCTGAAGTACCCGGGCTCCCTGCCTGGTGCCGGTACCCCGTTCGAACGAGACCTCGACTGCGACCTCGACATCGGACATCCTGACAGCCACCAAGATGGCGTCTTCCTCGACACCTGCGACTCCTCTCCTATAGTATGCCGCCACTGAAGATACGAGAGCCAATCTCTTCGCGATCGCATCGCGCTTACTGATTTGTTCCTCTTGTAGCTCCTGCATCGCGCACAAGACGACGATCCTCGCCGAATGCACTACCTCTGCCTCGTCGCAGACCTCGTCCCTCGCCTCTCTCATCCTCCCGAAGATCGAACACACCTCGCCCCAAAAGTTGACTTACACGCATGGCCAACACCAGATTCACTATGTTTCCGAGGCGCCGTCGGAGCACCCCGATCACCCAGCCGCCGGCGGCTTGACGTTCCTGGTCGTCGCCGATGCGTCTCTGGGCCGTCGCGTGCCATTCGGCTTCCTGTTCGAGATCCGCAATCGCTTCTTCTCGCAGTTCCCCGAGGACAGCACCGACTTCTCGGACTTGCCAAACTACGGCGCAGGGGCGTTCAACGGCGAGCTCAAGAGCCTGATGGTGGACTACGGAACCACGAGCGGCGGGCGCGACGACGCCATCGGCAACGCTAAGCGCGAGATCGATGATGTCAGGGGTATCATGACGAAGAATATCGAAAGCCTGCTCGAGCGCGGCGAGAGGCTCGACCTGCTCGTGGACAAGACGGATCGGCTGGGAGGCAGCGCGCGCGAGTTCCGGGTGCGGAGCAGGGGCCTGAAGCGCCAAATGTGGTGGAAGAATGTCAAGTTGATGGCGCTTCTGGCCGTGGTGCTCTTTTTGATTGTCATGGCGATTGTCATCACGGTCAAGAACTGAGCTGAGCGCAGGACATGACCAATTGATCGACGGAGAGACGGCAGGCCGCCCTACAGATACCAAGTGCCTACTTGACCTTACCTATTGCTACCCTTTGTATGTATTATAGCGGTAATTCGACTCGAATTGGTATATCTCGAGGGCAATGCGTTCACGCCTGTGGAAACGAAGAGTAGTAGTCCCATTTCTTGGCTTTGGCGGCACAAATGTCGTCGCCAGATGCAACAAGACAGCTTCAAAGGTTAAGATTTGATCGCTCAAGCTGCGCTGATTGATTTCGACTATACAAGACCGCTGTGCCGCCCATGATATCTTTGTCAAATCGTACCTCGGCAACTTTCTACCGTAGCCGAACGACCCCCTCCCCAGGCGTGACAGGCTCATCTGTCGCCCAACTTCGCTGAAAACAGCTCTCACGGGCCAAAATACCAACAAATTCTCGTTAAGTCATGACACTTTGACGTTCGACTGATGTGTCCTGCCGTCGTCATAGTTTGGATCCCTGGTTCCCCGTCGCGAGCGCCTCCTGGTACACGTATCCATGCGCGACAGGACTGTTGCTTCCCAGGCCGTGTGGCGATGAGACTACCGGCGCGATGGGCTTCTGGAGCCGTTGAGTGAAGAAGACGGGATGCAGCGTCGATGCGCACATGGAAGCCTGCCGTTGTGGCCGTAGAGGAAAGTGTCGGTCCCAGGCAGCTTGTAAAGGACCCGCGGGCGAGCTCCTGGGTGGCGCCGGGGGCGGTACTGCAAGACCCATGGCTGGGCGTGTCGTGAGGGCACCAGAAGGAGCAGAGAATCAAATGTGAATGCAAGTCACGACTTCTGTAAACTGTGCGTTCGCGGGAGAGCCGGAGAGCGTGCAAAAGGTTGGGGTTGAGGGTTATGATGAGTTCAGTCGATCGTCCGTGACGGCTCGCGCACATGCTGTTGGCTCTGATAGCCGAGCTTGCCTGCGGAGGCACTGAAGCTGCCTGGGCTGCGCCTACGTACAGGAGGCCAGGTGCTGGTGCAACTGCTGGCCTGCTGCAAATTAGCTAAGCAGCCGGAGCAATACTCCTACCTACCCTGCTGGGCGTGGTCAAGACAGCGTCGAAGGCACGTCTTCCGCAATATTGGTTATTTACTGACATTTTAAAGGACTTGAGAACAGGTGTTTTTCATGGTCAAAATATTTGGCGTTTTTTTATAAATGATACATAGATATTTCGTCAAATACAGCAACAGTAAATATGTCCACGTTGACCGTTGCCATGTCTTGCCCCGGACTTGTCTCCGCCGTTAACGTCCCCAACCAAACAAGACGGACGACATGGGCGGTTAAAATCAAGTTCCCCAGCGTTTTCAGAGACCAGTCGGGTCTGATCGTGCCCAGATTCCTGCGGTGCCAGACGCCTTCCACCAAGGACTCGGTTGCCTCACTGGCAAATGTCATCAAGGACTTGTCGGATGGAGATTGTCCGTCTGGCGCGGCGGAGACGGCGCTTCTAGAGGCTTCCCCACCAGTTACGACACGGGCGGGTACCCAAGCGAACTGTGGCTTGCGCGCAGACAGAGTGAGGCTGCCACGGTTGCCCCTCCATTAGCCCCTCCATCGCTCCGCCATAGCAACGCAGCGCCCCTCCTCCGTCACTGCAACCTGGCCTGCGACATGCTGAGCCACCCGCCGCCCTTCCACCGACTCGACCAAGCATTACCTCATCACCGACTCGGTATCGACTGAGCTGCGGACATTCTTCCCGCTGCATCCCCAGCTTCCTCAAACTCCCTCTTCCCACCAACCCTTCACATCACCCTGCCTCCCACGCGACCGCGCAGGCTATCCAACATTCTAACCAACTCTCCCATTCCCAAGCCACGGTAGCTTCTCCGCAATCGGCAACTTGGTGGCAGCCGAGCTCAACCTTGGTGCCGGTATCCCGTCTTCAAGATTCCTCCCACTGCAGAGATAGGTTCGCAGGGGAAGCGAAAGCTCTCCGCCGGGGAGTCCCAACCCAACGTCAAGCGGATCATGGCGGTAAGTTGTCTCTGTCCTGCCCTACCCAGCGCGCTGCGGCAACACCGGCGGCGGTCCCCTCGTCCTGCCCGGCGTGCCGTCAGCCTGCCTCTGCTCCCTCCCTCACCGGCGGCAAAGGCTGACAAATGTGCTTCGTTTGCGCTATAGCATGACAAGAAGCTCCCCGAGGTCGACCTCGCGACCCGGATGCAGGTCGACGATTCCGTCATCGGCACCACCGAGATCGACGAGTCCCTCTACAGCCGCCAGCTCTATGTCTTGGGCCACGAGGCCATGAAGCGCATGGGCGCGTCCAACGTCCTCATCGTCGGTCTCAAGGGTCTTGGTGTCGAGGTCGCCAAGAATATCGCCCTGGCAGGCGTCAAGAGTTTGACGCTTTACGATCCCGCGCCAGTTCAGCTCGCCGACATGTCCTCTCAGTTCTTCCTCACTCCGGCCGACGTCGGCAAGCCTCGAGACGAAGTGACGGCCCCACGAGTCGCCGAGCTCAACCAGTACACGCCTGTCAAGGTTCACCAGTCAGCAGGGTAGGCGAATACGAACTTTGCCCGCTTCAAGTCTCCGAGTCCTCGCTAACGACTGTACAGGCTGGACGAGAACCTCGCGCAGTTTGACAAGTACCAGGTTGTTGTCTTGACAAACTCGCCCATCTCTTCCCAAAAGGCCATTGCCGATTACTGCCACTCCAAGGGCATCTATGTCGTCATTGCAAACACCTTCGGTCTTTTCGGCTCCCTCTTCTGTGACTTTGGCGACAAGTTCACTGTCATCGATCCGACCGGCGAGACACCCCTGAGCGGCATTGTTGCCGGCATCGACGAGGAGGGTCTGGTCTCCGCGCTGGATGAGACCCGGCATGGCCTGGAGGATGGTGACTATGTCACCTTCTCCGAAGTCGAGGGCATGGAGGCGTTGAATGGCTGCGAGCCCCGAAAGATTACCGTCAAGGGCCCTTATACCTTTTCTATTGGCGATGTGACTGGGCTCGGGCAGTACCAGCGTGGCGGCCAGTACCAGCAAGTCAAGATGCCCAAGATCATCAACTTTAAGAACTTCACGAGCTCGCTCAAGGAGCCCGAGTTCGTCATGTCCGATTTCGCCAAGTTCGATAGGCCACAGCAGCTGCACCTTGGTTTCCAGGCCCTCGAGGCCTTCCAGGTTGCCGAAGGCCGCCTGCCGAAGCCGATGGATGAGAATGACGCCGCTGTGGTGCTGGGCGCCGCCAAGAAGTTTGCTCAGGAAGAGAAGCTTGAGATCGAGTTGGACGAGAAGCTGCTCAAGGAGCTTAGCTTCCAGGCCACGGGTGACCTCAGCCCAATGGCGGCCTTCTTTGGTGGTATCACCGCCCAGGAGATCCTGAAGGCCGTCTCTGGCAAGTTCCAGCCCATTCAGCAGTGGCTGTACTTTGATTCGCTCGAGTCGCTCCCCACATCCACCAAGCGCAGCGCCGAACTCTGCAAGCCCATCGGCAGCCGCTATGATGGTCAGATTGCAGTCTTCGGAACGGAGTACCAGGAGAAGATTGCCAATCTGAAGCAGTTCCTCGTCGGTGCTGGCGCCATCGGCTGCGAGATGCTCAAGAACTGGGCCATGATGGGCCTGGGTACCGGCCCCAAGGGAAAGATCTACGTCACGGACATGGACTCCATCGAAAAGAGCAACCTCAACCGCCAGTTCCTGTTCCGTGCCGCGGATGTTGGCAACATGAAGAGCGACTGTGCCGCCCGCGCCGTTCAGCGCATGAACCCGGATCTGCAGGGCCATATGGAGACGTTCAAAGACCGGGTCAGCGCCGACACCGAACACATCTTCAACGAGAACTTCTGGCAGTCCCTTGACGGCGTCACCAACGCATTGGACAATGTGGAGGCGAGAACCTACGTCGATCGACGTTGCGTCTTCTTCCGCAAGCCACTACTAGAGAGCGGCACCTTGGGCACAAAGGGCAACACTCAGGTTGTCCTGCCGCACTTGACGGAGTCGTACTCGTCGTCTCAGGACCCGCCAGAGAAGGAATTCCCCATGTGCACTATTCGAAGCTTCCCCAACAGGATTGAACACACCATCGCCTGGTCCAAGGAGTACATGTTTGAGAGATGCTTCGTCAAGGCCCCACAGACAGTCAACCTGTACTTGACGCAGCCCAACTTCCTGGAGGCAACTCTGAAGCAGGGCGGAAACCAGAAGGAAACGCTAGAGACGATTCGCAACTTCTTGACGACTGAGCGTCCTCGCACTTTCGAAGACTGCATTGCATGGGCTCGGATGCTGTTTGAGACTGAGTTTTCCAACAAGATCCAGCAGCTGCTGTATAACTTCCCCAAGGACTCGGAAACGTCGAGCGGCACGCCTTTCTGGTCTGGCCCGAAGCGTGCGCCGGATGCCCTCAAGTTCGATCCCAACAACCCGACGCACTTTGGCTTCATTGTCGCGGCTGCCAATCTGCATGCCTTTAACTTCAACATCAAGTCGCCGGGAACGGACAAGGATATTTATCTTCGAGAACTGGAGAACGTGATTGTCCCAGACTTTACGCCGGATGCGAATGTCAAGATCCAGGCTGATGACAAGGAACCCGTATGTGAACCTGGTCCGTACATTTCGGAGGCGCGTATGCTAATAGTCTACTAGGACCCCAACGCCAACACCAGCTTTGATGACAGCGATGAGCTCGACAAGATCATTGCTAGCATTCCGTCACCAAACACTCTGTCTGGATTCCAGCTTCAGCCTGTCGAGTTTGAGAAGGACGACGACACGAACCACCACATCGACTTCATCACGGCATGCAGCAACCTGCGAGCCGAGAACTACAAGATCGAGCCTGCGGATCGCCACAAGACCAAGTTCATTGCGGGCAAGATCATTCCGGCCATTGCCACGACGACAGCCCTGGTGACGGGCCTCGTTGTGCTGGAGCTGTACAAGGTCATTGACGGCAAGACGGATCTCGAGCAGTACAAGAACGGCTTCATCAACCTGGCGCTGCCATTCTTTGGCTTCAGCGAGCCGATTGCCAGCCCCAAGGTGGAGTACCAGGGCCCAGACGGCAAGGTGACGCTGGACAAGATCTGGGACCGCTTCGAGGTGGACGACATTACGCTCCAGGAGCTCATTGACTACTTCAAGGCCAAGGGACTGAGCATTAGCATGCTGAGCTCGGGCGTCAGTCTTTTGTACGCCAGCTTCTTCCCTCCGGCGAAGCTCAAGGAACGCTATGCCATGAAGCTGAGCAAGCTGGTGGAGACGATTTCGAAGAAGCCGATCCCGTCTCACCAGAAGGAGGTCATCTTCGAGATCGTGGCCGAGGACCTGGCCGAAGAGGACGTGGAAGTGCCGTATATCAAGGTGCGGGTGCAGTAAATGCCAGGATAGACATGTCTAGAGACTACGAGGCGTCTCGCAATAGGGTTTGAAGCTGCACAGCAGTGAATCATGTTTGGCACGGCAGATAGATGTTCAAGTCCCTTGATTACCGTATGTTTGCAAATCGATGGTGTTGCGTGATGACAAAGGCCGCAGTTGACAGGTGCCGAGCTAGACCAGTTGCGGCCCTGACAGGTTTACGTCACGATTAGCAAGCTGCCATGCGGCGAGCAGCTCCCCGCCTTGCGGTCGAGAACCGAAGGGGCCGGCCCAGCTGCGACGGTCGCTGGCTATAAACCGGTAAGCGGTACGGAATAATTTGATAGCCTATCATTTCGTGGTGGCCGAGCTGCAGCTTCTCGAGTATAAATATATTGCACCAACCCCAGCCCTACGTTTAGATTCGGTAGAGTAGACCCGTCGATGAATGTCCCGCGCCCGAGCCGGTACATCTACAGGAGCATTTGCGACTTGAGCAGATCACAAGCACCACCACACTCGAGAGCTCGCCTGCTGAGCTCCTTCACTGCTACGCGATATCAAAAGCCCTGGTTTCCAACCGTTCCGTTGCACAATCAAATCAGAATGGTAAGCAGCATCAGCACCCGGCGTCCCTTAGCGTTCGCTGCCCGAGCCGAGGGACCGACTGACTCGAAACAGGCCAGCTCCGGCAAGGTAACCGACTGGGTCAAGCCCGGCGACACGTCGGGCGAGTTCAAGCGCCAGGTCAGCTCGTTCCGCAACTGGATCTCGCGGGAGAGCGGCGCCCAGTTCCCGCCCGAGAAGGGGAGGTATCACCTCTACGTCAGCTATGCGTGTCCCTGGGTAAGCGCCAATTAACCCATCCATCATTCGGTGTTTATATGGCACTCCATTGGAAGAATCCTGAGCGACTGACACGAAGGGAAAAAGGCGTGCCGCACGCTCATCGCGCGCAAGCTCAAGGGCCTCGACGACCTCATCAGCTTCTCCGTGGTGCACTGGCACCTCGCCGAGGGCGGCTGGCGGTTCGTGACCAAGGGCGAGGACGTGCCGGGCGACAACGTCGTGCCGGACCCGATCGAGGGACACGAGGCGTTTACGCACCTGCGCCACGTGTACTTTGAGTCGAGCAAGGACTACGAGGGCCGGTTCACGGTGCCGGTGCTGTACGACAAGAAGACCAAGACAATTGTGAGCAACGAGAGCAGCGAGATTCTGCGCATGTTTAGCACAGAGGTGAGGAGCCCCCCCTCCTTGACCCTTGATATGGGTTGAGTTGTCCTTTGAGTTGGTGTCTGACTTCGCTGCCCCGGGCAGTTCGACGACCTCATCGAGGAAAAGTACCGCAACATCGTGCTATACCCGGAGAACCTGCGCAGCCAGATCGACGAGGCCAACACGTGGACATACGACCTCATCAACAACGGCGTGTACAAGTCGGGCTTCGCGACCACGGCCGAGGCCTACGAGCGCAACGTCGTGGCGCTCTTCGAGGCGCTGGACCGGGCGGAGAAGCACCTGAGCGAGCAGCAGGACGGCCCGTACTACTTTGGCAAGGCCATCACCGAGACGGACATCCGGCTGTTCGTGACGCTGGTGCGCTTCGACCCCGTGTACGTGCAGCACTTCAAGTGCAACATCCGCGACATCCGGTCGGGCTACCCGGCGCTGCACCGCTGGATGCGCAACCTGTACTGGAACCACGCGGCGTTCCGCGAGACGACGCAGTTTGACCACATCAAGTGGCACTACACGCGCAGCCACACGCAGATCAACCCGCTGTCCATCACGCCCGTCGGGCCGCTGCCGCATATCCTGCCGCTGGGCGAGGAGGTGCCGGCCGCGCAGGCGGCGAAGCAGGGGAAGCTGTGAGTAGAGAGAGGAGCTGTGTTAGGAGGTGTGTGGCTGTGGAGGTGGAGAGTGCGTGAGGTGTGTCGCGGCGCGAGCGTGGCGAGGGCACGAGACTGAGCGGAGTATACGAAGGGGTAGATTAGCAAAATGAAGTGTCAGTGCTGCTCTGGACAAAGGGTCGCTATGTGCGTCTTGACTCTTGACGGAGAGCTCTGATCCAGGGTCTGCTCTGTCTGTGACGATGCTCGCAGGCGAATTTGGTGTCATGTGACTTGCTGCCCGCCAGCCAGAGGGACTCATCCGTGAGTCAGTGCCAGAGGGGAGCCTCCTCTGTCTTGGCCGGGGCGGTTTTTCCGTCTCCGAAAGGGGGCCAGCCACAGGAGGCCGGCGTCGGGGCGGGCAGGTGGGTGGCAGCCCTGATCAGTCAGGCGGGCAGGAGGGCGGCCAGCTGGGAGGAGCCCACCTAGACTCACCGACCCCTTCCATAGGTCCTGCCCAGCGCCGCACGGCTGGCAGAGCCAACTGGACCACGCGCCACAGCTGCCGCCCACCTCGCCCGTGCGCGGACAGTCTGCCCCAGCGGCCAGTGCTCCCGGTGGCCAGTGCTCCAGCCTCTCGCAGGGTGCTGCCTCTGCCTGGGCCCCTCTGCCAGCCAGCCGGCCAGCCCACCCGCCCGCCTGCCTAATACCTAACAGCAACGGCACCACCTCAGGTTTCCAGTCCCCTAACGTTACCGCCCGCACCGGATCCACCTGATTCTTCCACCGCATCGCAACCACCGCCTCCTCATTCTCTCCCGAACGTCGCACAACAGTGTTTTATCTGCCACCTCTCCCGCGCACGACCACCTTCACCTTCAACAGTCCCGCTGTAACATCCAACATCCACCTGAAGCCCTGCCGCTTTCTCCTGCTCCTATTCATCCCTTCCGCTCCCTCGAGCCTGGGCCAAGACTTTCTCTGCATCCCGCCTCCCTCGCCTGTGCGCAGGCGACGACGCCCGACTCCACTGCAATACCACCATTGAACAACGCACACATCGACAACTCGGCGACCGCGACCTCTACTCGACCCTCCGTCATCTCTATTCAGGCAGAGGGTTCTCCCCTCAACTCCGCCGACGTCTCGCCTCGAACCGATTGACCGCCAGCCTCGTTTCTGCCGCGTGACCTAGCCCGACATCGCTCTCCCCCCGTCGAGACACCTGTCACTTCCCACAACCTTCCCACGCTTTGCGGCGACAGGCGGCCGTTCCAGCGGATGGGAAGCGCCGCGCCGTCGCCCTGATATGGCCCTTCGATACTCAGCAGAGTTTCTGCTGCACCTGCGGGAATCGCCGCTATGTGTCCGACCTGACAGCCTCCCTCCCGTGGAGGACTGGATGGGGTGAGCCCCCCTCGGCCCTGCGCAGCTGGCAGCTGCCCGTTACCTGCACCTTTGGCTAACCAGTTGACAGCGCGACGCCCGAACAGCTGCGCGCCCAAAGTGCCAAAACCACCACTGACCGAACCCAACGAACAACCGACGTTGCTTTGATTGATCAAGGCACTCGGCGTCAAGGCGCCGAACGCCATGCATCCCGCAACAGTGCGAGTCAGTCTTTCCTCTTGCAGCTGATACTTTCCTTGGCCGTGGCCCCTGTGCTCACATTTTCTTTGCAGACCCCGAGGATATAGTCTTTGGACCGCCTCGCATGGCCTTTTCTTCTGCGCGCGGCAACAAGTCGATCGACGAAAAAACCCTCGGCCTACCAGATGGGCAGGGCCGGACTGGTCTCCGGAATCGGAGCGGGGACCTTGATGGCGACCGCCTACGCACGACCCTTCGTCGCAATGACGTCGACGCGGACAGTGATGGATGGAGCACGGTGAAGCCTCGCAAGAGCTTCGGAGCCGAGGGCGCAGAGCGCTTCCACGGCAAGATGGGGGGCAACTACCGAGACGAGAAGCGCCCTCAAAGGGAACGCGACGATCGGGAGCCAACTCGAGACCGCCCGACCAGGGCCTTTGACGGCTTTACGCGAGATCGGGAGGCCACTCCCGAAACTGAGCCCCGGCCACGAAATGGAGCTGGCCGTAGCAAGCTCGACACCTGGCGTTCCGGCAACGACGTCAAAGAACCTGCCCCCGTCCCAGAGAAGCGCGAGCGCGAGCGCGATCGCGACCGCACAAAGAGCTGGCGTGATCGTGATCGTGACACTGAGCCGTCTGACGAACAACGAGGCGGTGGCAGAAACACGGACCGCCGCTGGGGACGAGACCGCGACCAGAGGAATGAACGAGACCCGGAGTGGCTCGACGAACCGCAGCCTGAGCAGCGCGAGGCTCACACACAGCAGGACTTCCAGAAGTGGATGGAGCAGATGAAAGCTGCTAAGAGCGGAGCATCTGCCGCCGCGAAGCCCACTGCAAATATCATCGAGACGGTCGAGGCTGCAAAGCCACCGGCGCCTTCGCCTGCTGTTGAAGCAGGGCCAGACAAGTTCTTCATGGCATTTGGCGGTACATCAAGCGCGGCACTTCCTGTTGCCAGCCCTCCCGAACAGAAGGAGACCGCTCCTGCCGCCAAGGCCAAACCCGCGGGCAAGTCGTCGAGGTTCACATCGTTCTTTGCCCAGCCTCAGTCTGATGGGCGCGCGAGCGCACCAACAGCCACGCCCCCGACGGCGCCGCCGTTCCAAAGCCCTATTCCGATATCGATGCCTGGACCTGGGCATCCATCGGCGCCAGAGGAAGAGCGGCAGGCGTTCCAGCAGCTCCTTGCCAAGCTGCAGAAGCAAAGCATGAGCGCCACACCTCCAGGCGTGTCAGCCTTCCCAGCTCCGCAGCAGGGCAACGGCCCCGATCAGAGCAAGAAGGGTGCCATTGCTTCACCAGAGCTATTCCAGCAGTACGGAGGCGACCGCCGCGACGGCCCAATGGGTCGGCCACCATCTCAGCAGCCGCGCGAAATCCTCGCGCCGCGCCCGCAGCCACAGACTGCGCGCCCCGACCAGCTCCTCAATGAGCTCGTGGGCCACCACAACCGTGTTTCGAGCCAGGGATCCGGACGCGCGGATCCAGGAGCGGCTCGAAACAACAGCAACACCGAGTTCTTGATGAACCTGATGAGGCCCGGTCTCGCCACCCAACAGTCCGACCAGCAGGTTCGCATGCAGCAACAGCAACAGCAGCCGCAGCCGCAGAAGCCTGCGCAGATGACACCGTACAACGAGCGAGAGTTCGAGTTCCCCGGTGTGGAGAACCGCAACACCGCCCAACGCCAAGGACGCAACCAGCCGCCACCAGGCTTCCCGATGGACGACTCCTTCCACGGTGCCGCCGACCAGGAGCAGCGCCAGAACCAGCCCCCGCAGATCCTGCAGCGTCCGCCCCCGCCCCCAGGCCTCAACCAGATGCCTCCCGAGTGGATGGCCAGAGGACAGATGCCGCCCCCTCAGCAGCGAGGCCCGATGGGCCCGCCGCCTGGATTGGCTGGGGAGCCGAACCGAAACATGCCTGTGCCGCACATGTTTCCTCCCAACTTCCCGCCCGGGGCCATGCCTCCTCCTCCTGAGGCGCTTGGCGGGATGCCTCCGCGCAACATGCCCATGCCGCCGCCGGGCTTCTTCGCTGGTCCTCCGCCTCAGGGCTTCCTGCCCCCTGGACTGGGCGGGTTCAACGGGCCACCCGGCCCCGAGTCGCACGGTTTCGGTGGCTCCCCGTTTGAGGGACGTGGCATCCCCCCTGCCGGTAACCGTGGCACCAACTACGGCCGCCCGTGAGCGATACGGCAGTCCACCATGCCGAAGCACGCGTGGTAGCTGGGAAAGCTCTGATGGGAGTGAATTGCAGTGCACATTCAATGTGCTGTCGACAAGCACTGGCTATTCGGTCGTGGTGTGGCGGCGCGGGCGTTTGCTTGCGGCGCGGACAACAATAACAACAACAACGCCGGAGGAGGGTTTCTTGGAAGGGGTTCTCGAAGGAAATGAAATGAACGGATCATGTATCACGCCGCTGCGGCGTGGAGGTAGTGGTACCGTGCAATCAATGATGTGAGCTGGGGTGCGAGGCGCGACGCCCTGTTGTACTACTTGAAACGCTACGTTCCCGGCCAACGTGTCTGTACTTCGTACGTGTGTGTATGCACATGTGTTTGCCAAAATGTGAAGTGAATGCATACCAGCCACCTGCTCACGTGCTGCCACCTTGCGTGGATGGTTGCGGTGTGGACGGCTGGGCTATGCATTACGGTTCTTCGTATCCATCTCGGAAGAGCATACGGTACACTGCAAATCATCCGGGACCAAAAACGCTGTCCAAGCCGATTCTACGGCCACGATAAACACGCCCCAACGCCACGCCCACAAAGTCCTCCAACCGAGCCTACCCAAGCTCATCCTCCGCGATGGCAACCATGCACCTTTCTCATCCGATGACGAGCCCATAACCGGACACCAACGAACAACTCACTTCACCGGACGGATTGCCCGTGAAACGCGTCCCCCCACCCATGACTAGATGCCAAGTCGAAAGACAGGAGAGGACCCCTAGCCACACCTGCCCGCTCCTCATAGTCCTTGCTAGTTCATAACCCCAAGGATCTGTAATGCTCCTCACGGAGTCGGCAAGGCGGTCGAGCCGCTGCGAATAAGCTTGGAAATGCGCTTGAGCTTGGAATCACTCCTCTCCAGGCGCTCCGGCGGGAGCTGCTCGCTGAGCCTGCGGCGGAATGAGAGCGACGACGACAGCGAGAGCCTTTTCCCACCGCTGCGAGTATTGCGTAAGCCAGGAGCTGCGTCTTTCTCGTCCGCATCACAGCCCGCGTCCTTGACTGCATCCATGTCCTTGTTTGCGGTCATGTCCATGTCTGCGCTCAAGTCCTTGCATTCGCCTGTGTCCTTGTCTGCGCCTCCATCCTTGTCCGCGTCTCCGTCCGCGCCCATACCTTTGTGCTTGGAGGAACGTCTGTGCAGAGAGCCCTACTTCTTCATACCCAAAAAGTTCCTCCGCTTCTTCTCCTTGTGCAGCTTGCCGTCGTCGTGCTTCGGCGGCTCCGGGGCAGCCGCGGACTTGGGCCGTGAGCCAGGGGCGTTGAGGCTCATGGCGCCCATGGCCGGCGTCGGCGGAACGGGGGCGGGGCCTGGACCCGGCCGAGTGGGCAGCCCAGACGTGGCCGGTCTACCGGGTCCGGCACCCATACGCTGGGGTGCACCGCCACCGCCGACAGCGCCTGGTCCTGGAGGAGGAGCAGGGCGCTCAAACAGATGCGCAGGGGCGCGAGGCTTGGGTCGCTCCATGGGGAGATCGAGTTGTCGCTTGTCGCGGCTTAGGTCGCTGACCTGACGGATGAAGAGCTGGGGCGTGAGCATGTGGGAAGTAGCGAGGATGATGTCCCGGCTGCGCAGGTTGCCAATCTCGTAGCATGCACGGCTCTCGCTGTATGTCGCGCCACCAGCCATGAAGACGAAGATGCGCTGTCGGTTCTCTGGAGGACGTCGTCCGGCTGCTGCCCAGTTCGGCCGGCCAGCGCGGAGGGAACCCCCTTGAGCGACCAAAAGGTCTTCATTCGGGTCCATCGGTGGCTTGACGTAGGGAAACACTGTCTGATCCAGGGCTCCTCTCGCAAGAGCGTCCAGCATTGACTTTAAGACCGGCTCAAAACGTGAAAGACTGTACTCCTCACTCGGCTGTGGTGCCTTGGGGTCCCGGGGGAACAGTGGCGGCGGAATTTGTCTCGGCTCTTTCAACACATGTGAGGTCTTGCCGCCGAGCAACTCCATGTTTGCCGCAACTTCTGCATCCTGTGGGGGCAGAGACGCGTGGATCAGCAGTTTCTGGATGTCCTCCATGATGACGCCGCCGCGATACAGCACGTAGATAATGACGAGCCGAAGTCGGTCTGACGGCATGATGGCGTCGTCGTCCAACAGCCGGACGACGGACTCGCAAACGTTCTTGGGTTTTCTGAAGTCCTCGTCCAGGCCGGTGGACATGGTCTGTTCAATCGAGGCAATGTCCGGGAGCTTGTTGTGCTGGAATATGTTCATACACTCTTGCGCCATGGTCAGGTGGAGCGAGTATGCTTCCTTCATCTCTTGAAACTGCGGCAGACCTGCCAACATGTCTCTGATGGTATTGAGGTTCGTGGCGTCGGCATTCTCGTTGGTGAAGTGAGGGTTCTGGTCGAGGAACTTTTGAAAGTCTCCCATGAGCTTGTCGATGGTGTCCTTCATGTGCCGGTGCCTATTGTCGACCCAGATCTTGTCCTTTTCGCTCAGCTCCATATCCTTTTCCTGGGCCTCTGGCGTTCCTGCGTTGACGGTCGTATGAAATGTGACCTTGTCGCCGTCCTTGATGGGAAGGAGATCTGCCGCCATGGCTTGGTAGGTAAATTCGTGTATCAACGGTGCCATCAGGTCCATGGACCGGTCTGTGATTATGAGATTTGCTTGCGGTCGGTTCGAGGGTGGTGGGAAGTTGGGGTCCCAGTGTGCGTATCCGTCGAGCTCTTCCTGCACGAATCGTGCCAGGTGCGAACACAGTACGCTTGCCTCATGGATGGCGTTTTTCGGTCGGTAGTACCGCACTTTGGGATATTCACCCATGGTTATGCAAATGCCAGCAATCTGTTTCATGAAAGAGTCAGCCTAGATTGCGCGCCAAGGTCCCACGGGGTTCGCTGAGACGTACTCTTTGCGCCAGCTGCTGCATGTGCTTCGGGACAAGCGAGTTGCACGACGGGTGGTAGAGCATCGGGAAGCTCCAGGGATCGCGAAACGTGATCAGATGCGACTCTCTAGGGTAGAAGTCGATAAAGAGCGTCTTGGAGCTCGCGCGCAGCTGCCTGACGCCGGGGAAATCGTCGATGCGCCTCCGCAGGTTGGGGTCTAGGAGGTTGGTCCAGACCAGGAAGGCCCTGCGGTACCGCCGCCGCTCGAAGTCAGCGAGGAGGCAGTCGACAATATGGGGCTCGGGCGAGAGCAGGTATATGGCATCCATCTCGGGGTTCGGCTCGCGGCGATTCTCGATGCGCTCGATGGCTGGGGCAGGTTAGCCAAAGCCCGACGCTCAGGACAGGATAATGACGCACTGGCGATGTTGTTGTTGAGGATATCATCCTCCTTGACTGCATTATCCAGGATCTTCCTGGATGTCTCGTCGACAATCAGGCATTTCCACTATCTCGTCGCGTCGTCAGTGTTGCAGCTCAGGGCATCGCATCGGGCATTATGGGGTGCGGCATACGTCGCCCTGGGTAATGTTCTTGATCTCCTGGATAATGACTGGCAAGGAAAAGTCAGCTACGCAGGTTCAAGAAGGGATGGAGACGACGCGCGCGTACCATCGTGCTGCTCTTGGATCACGGACAGCCCCATGATGGTGGCTGGGGAGGCGGCCCGGCCTGCCTCAGTCGAGCTCTTGCGCGTCGGTGGTAGAATGCGGGTGCGAGGCGAGGTCGTAGGTCGAGAGCAGCGTAGAGAAGCGAGGTATAGCCGCTGCAAGATCCGAGCCGGTGCGTCAGAAATGGTGCAGCTGGGCGCAGCGAGGAGCACGACAGGGCGAGGAGGTGGTGGAGTGGTGACAGACAGGCAAGGAGGTTTTGGCGGGGTCGCTGGTGGTGGTTCATGGAACCTAAGGAACCTTGGGACATTGGAAGCGGCAGGTGACGGCCACCTGCCACTGATTGGGCCCCTGGCCACAGGGGGGGCGCGTCCCGCAGATGCGCTGAGACGGAGCTTTGTCTGGCCATGGTGGGGAATTGCATGTTATGGGCCGCTGAAGAACCTTGGAACCCTTCCAGACGGCCCTGTAGCGTCCGCCGCAGCAGCTTAAGTGCCGCCGACTCCGTCCCCTGCAGCTCGAGTCCGATGAGGTCATGGCGGCATCCGTGGACGGAGTTGGGTCTTTGTTGCACCACCAAACGGTCGAGGCCTGCGCATTGCAGCAAACCTCCGACCAACTCAAAAGGCCATTCACCACTGCTGATTCTCATCACAAAGCGGGAAAGAGTTTGCACTGCTCATTGTATTGATCGACTACACATCTCTAGCCGACTTGAAAAGGGGTATCAAAAACAACAAAGTATATCCGCCGCGCGCCGAATGCCGTTTCATATCGCATTGTCCGCGCCGTTCCCCCTGAGGTAGCCCTCCACATCAACACGTCCGTAGATCTCTGCCTGCAGGCGCTCGGCTCTTTGTCGTTCCTTTGCCGCCAGCGCCTTTCTCTCCTTGGCCGTCAGCTGCCGCGGCGGGGCCTCGGATTCCTTCTCCTTCTTCTTCTTCTTCGCGTCCTCGTTTGCCTGCTGCGCGCTCGCTCCGATGCCCAGGTTGTCCTCCTTGGCTGCTACCTTGATCGGATACCGCGGACCTTCGCCCTCCAGGCCCAGCCCGCGCCTGGCGTCCGGGTCCCAGCCCTGAGACTGCAAGGTTCGCAGTCCCATGCGCGTGCGGTCGAGGCCCGAGGGCGGATGAGAGTGTGTCATGCTGACTTGATGGGCGAGCGACGCTTCGTGTTCGCGCAGAGATGTGGTGATGGGCAGCGCGCAGACGGGACAGATGATGGGCTCGCGCGATTGCTCGTCGTCGTCGTCCGTCGGCGCTCCCGGCGACTCCGTCCTGGAAGCCGGGCCAGACTGTGAGCTGACTTCCCCAAGGACGATACTCGCGTACAAGTCCCCAACGAGGCTCCCTTTGCCGGCCGACGACGTTGACGAGGATGGCAAGCCGGGGTCGCTTTCTGTGGCGCGCACAAACTCGATCTTCTTGCGCTTCAGCCCCGCCCCGAACGGCCGCTTATGGTGGAGGGGGATCTCGGGTTCGTCATTTTCCTCCTCCTCCTCTCCTCTCGTCCGTCGCATGGTCGCGTTGAGGAAGCGAAGCGGCGCCGCGACGACGTTGCAAACGAAAGATGTCGGGTGAAAGTTGCTTGAGAGGCGGGAGTCATGATGCTGTGCTGCCTAATGAAGCCCGTGGCCCACCGCCATTAGCGGGTAGAGCCAATCGCGCCGCACTGGCCAAGTTCCTCTTGATACCCTACAACTCCATGTCGAAACTACGTTACTTTGTATAAAACATCAACGCCACGAAGAAAGCTCAAGACAATTGCAGCATGGCCCTATTGTTCCGTATCGAGGGTTCCTATTCCTATGGGCAAGAATTTCTATTCGTAAGGTCGCTCAAGCCTTCACGACTGGACCTATTCCTGAGCTCTCCACGCAACTCGTGACTGACCTTGGTGAACAGCGCGAACATTAGAATGGTCTCGTATCTTGCAAACAAAGGGACAAGATTTAGCACGTCGGCATCCCCAAATTTCATGTTTCTATCCATATAAGGCTTCAGGTTCTTCTAGGCGTCCGGGCCTGAGTTTTCCCTTCAGCATCCTGACTATCAGAACGCAGACCGCGCGTGGATGTCCGCCTGATTGGGCGTGTCGGGATCCGATCCGGGTCGGATACTCTTCGCCGTCGGCGCAGCTCTTCCCGCTCCTCAAGAGGCATATCGGAGCCGGCACGGAAGCCAGAAAGAGTCGTCCTGCGCGATGTCAAAATAATCTCACCTCCTTCCGTACCGGTGCGCATCTCAACTCCTCCCACGTTGACGGTAGAGTTGCTCCCGACTTTGATGGTGATGTCGTCTCCGTGGACCCCTGGGGATCGTATCGCGCGCGGCATGTCGTTGGGACTGCGCGCTTCTTTTTCGTCCCCGCTGTTACTCCCGTCTGTTGCTTCGGCGCTAGATATATATGGCTGGCGACCCATTCTCCGTCGCAACATGTCGGCTGTGAGGGGTGTGGCTGTTGGGGGTATCTCTGGCTCGTCGCCCGCCTGTCTGCGTCCTGCGGCCGTACCCGAGGCCCTCCCCCGCTCTTCCGGCTGGGAGATATAGGCGCCATACATGGAAGTCCGCCGCCTCATCCCAGACGCTGGCACGAGATCGTAGTCTACCTCACTATAAGAGGGAGGACGACGTGCCGTCCCCGGTGGGGGTCCGGGCCTCCGTTCATGCTGCCACTCTCCACTCCTTGGACGGTTCAAAAGGCGAGGGCGCTTTTCGCCGTTGTAGCCCCTGAACCCTTCGGAGTGGTCATCCCGGAAGTCCGCCGAAATGCGATCCGAGGATGCCGCCCGATCCAAAGGTCGCGCTGGCGGCGGCGCTGCAGCAGCTTGCCCATAGTTTGGGCTGTTGAAGGAGTATGTGACGGGCGGGCGAGAGTACGCCACCGGAAAATCGGGATAGAAATGCTCCTGCCGGGCGGCCCCTTCTTGGACCAGGGACGGTGGCGGCATCATTTGTGCCTGCTCGACGTTCACCCGGGCTGGACCCCAGCCAAGTCTCGGGGGAGGATAGGTGCCTGTCGGAAGGGGTCGTCCGGCGGCACTCGGGGGGCGGCTCGGGAATTCCGGCCTCGCGGGTTCACGGAATGGCTCCCAACCGGGTGGTGATGCGGGATAGGCGCCCGGTGGAAGGCGTCTTTCGTCGACAATCACGGGGCGCCGGATCGGAGGCTGAGTACCACCATAACCATAGGCTTGAACTCCTGAGCGTGGCGACGATGACAAGTACTGCGGTGTATCAGCGTAGCTCCTTGCTCGAATTGGTAACCTCGCCTGAGGTGAAGACATGGTAGGGTCTGTAACTGGTGAAGCAAAGTAACTTGCGTCCGTCGCTGGCCTCTGCCGCCGATCGGTTTGCTTGACAGTTGTTCTGGAAGCGGAACCCGATGGTTTCAGAATAGTCTTCTGTTTCTTCAGTACCTTAGAGAGGCTGGCCTTCTGTTTCGGCGCTTCGGTCTTCTCGACTGCCAATTCCTCACGCCTCTGACTGCCCTGCTGACCTTCTTCGGGCACACGGATCTTGTTCAATACCGACACAATGTCCTCGATCTTGGGGCTAGTCGCGGTGTCCTGTTTTGCGCTAGAATCTCCAGTCCGAGACCCGGAACGCTCTCTCACCGGAGCGGGCTGATGCTTCTGATCGGCGAGCTGCTTTGTCACGTAGCTAGATTCGCCTAGGATTTGAGCTATAGCCCGGTCTGGAGTTATCAAGACTTCATCGCTTTCGTCGCCCGCGTGATCCTGGATGGGCCGTCGAATATATTCGCTGGGGGATGGATCCAGAGCCTTCTGCTGTATCTCGTTCGTGCTTGGCGTGCTTGATTCATGGTCGAAAGTTGGCGACGGCGCCGGGGAATGTTGCGCTTCTTCGGGGTTATTATCCGCAGCAGCTTGATTATTCGTCGAGACATCTTTCTCCAGGCTCCGAACGACGGATTCTACTTCCAGGGCCTCGATGTTCAACGCAGCTTTCGAGCTCACTGTGGACTCCTCCGAGCCATCAACAACCTCTGCCTGGGCGACTACTTCATCATCCATCTCCACTATAGGCAAGGCAAAGAGAGCAAGCTGCTCTTGGTGCCGCCCTACGTGGTGTTGATACTGTTGAGCCGATCTTAGCAAGTTGCGGCAGAGAGGGCAGGAAATGCCCTCGGTTAGGTCGAGTGGTTTCGCGCCGAGCCTAATCAGCACACCAATCTCGCTTGCTTGGTATGCCCCTAGGTGGCGTTGAGCAATATGCTCCTGGCATGCGGACACAGACGGGAATGTAGCACCGCAGGACGCCGGGCACGTGTACGTGCTCCAGTGACTTTGCTTCATGTGGTTCATCCATTGATGCCGTCGAGGAAACTCCTTTTCAGGAGCCAGGCAGTCCTTTTCGAGACAAATATATGGGCGTAGATCCTCATGGACATGTCTCCTGCATGACATTAGCCTAGTTCTGCCTCCGCGCTGGTCTGGTGCAATGACTGACTTCCACGAAGCTGTGCTCGTCGCTGTGATGATTCTGTAACAGAATGGGCATTCAAACGGCCCTATTGAGGCCGCTGTTGGTAATGGAGGGATGCGATACTCTTCTTTCCCTGCGGCCGAAGACGCGTACGACGTTTGTGTGTGCCCGGAATCCGAACGATCTTCGCTAAAACCAAGGAGCCCATCCATTGGATCTGAGCCTCCCTTTAGCTGTTGCGGTATAGACGACGCCACCGTCTGCGGATCAGCGCTGCCAGCCGTAGTCGTCGCATCGGCTGCTCGATGGAGGTCAAGTCCGCGTGAGAGCTTCATGTGATGCGCCTCTCGGTACTTGAAATACTGTCTTCGTCTGGAGATTGCTTTCCCTAGTCGCTCGGCCAGAATGGCGTCGATGTCGTTGAACTTGGACTGCACATGCCGGATGTCAAAGAGCTCATAATGCGATGTGTCTGTGAAATGTGATGCAGCAAAGCGATCGTGAGGCGCCGGGTTTCGGATTGCCGCACTCAAGCGTAGGAGGCAGTTGACCACGTCCACCACATCAACTGATATTTGATCGAGCTCGCTTTCAGTCGAGTCTTCTTCGTTCGAGCTTGGCGACCAATTAGGGTCCATAACCGATATGCCCTTGTCCGCTATTTCTGCTGTCCCCTCATGCTGGTCTGTCGTCGCTTTCACATCACTGATCTGGTCCCAGGGGAACTCGTATCCACCAACAATGGCTAGAGCATCCTCCAGGAGCTCATCCAGGTCTTGTAGCAGCCGTATGACATGAGTTCGAATATGTGATGAGTCTCGCAGTCGGTAGTCGAGTGAGCTCATCCCCGTGTTGTGAGCTCCGATATTTCCTGCCCATACTTTGAACCGGGTGCGCTCATCGCTGATGTCTCTCCAGAACGTCTCGGTAGCGTCAGAAGCATTCCCAACTTGGTCCGTCACAAGATGGAACAGGTCGAGACAGCTCTCAACGTGGCTCGCTATGCTGTCTCCCATGTCTCGTTGCTCTCGTTGCTCTCGTTGCTCTCGTTGCCTCCGCGACACCGATACCGGCGTCTTTGTAGCTGCTCGCGTCGGGACTCTTGACGGAGGGATAAGTTTTGTATCGTGTACCGAACCAGGTTGTTAGTTGAGCGATCGGCCTGGCTTCCCTTCCCATATACGACCGCTAGATTGGCTGCTCATGGTGGCGGGCGCTACTCGCGGCGGCAGGAGCTACGCATGGTGGTGCGACCTCGCAGGTCAATGGAGAACAGGTCACAGAAGATGCAGGTAGAAAAGCGAAAGACTGGTACGTCTCGAAAGTGCTCATGGAGTTGTGCAGTCCATGCTCGCCCTCGGCTTCTTGCCACGACCCGTGTGAACCACTGTACAGGGCGGGGTCCATTGGTTGACAGCACAGCTGACTGCATGCAAGCTCGTCGCACCCTGGCTCCCCGTCCGGCAGGCGACGAATCACAACTCCACTGTTGCCGCAGCTGAGAAGATGAAGCAATATTTAGGGCGCATAGTCGAGTTCCCCGCTCGGTCAATGTACAGTATATGGACAGCCTCGGCGCTCCAGTCTGGTCCGAAGCGCCCTGGGCGAGCCCATCCGCCTGGTGTCGCGATCACGACTGGCAGAGCCGCAATGTCTGGCTTCGAGATAGCCGGAATTGTCCTCGGGTCAATACCTCTCGTCATATCGACCTTGGAACACTATGGCGACGGTTTATCAGCGCTCCAGCGATGGCGGCGATATCGGCGCGAGGTCCACTGCCTCACCAGGAATCTCGAAACCGAGCGCGTCAAACTCCAAAACGTGTGCGAGAAGCTACTCGTCGACATCGTGCCACCGTCGCGTATCGAGACTATGATCAATGACCCGATGGGAAACCTCTGGCGAGAAGAGGCAACACAGAGAAAGGTCCGGGTCCGGCTTTGGAAAGGATTCGACGCCTTTGAATCCACTATTGGCGACGTTCAGACGGCGGTCAGCGAAATGAACAAACGTATCACCTCTCAATGTGGGCCGCAGGCATCAGAGCTCAAACGGGCAATTTTTACTTTGAGCCGCTCACAATACACGGACCTTCTTTCAACAATACGGGACGGAATATCGAATCTCGAGAACCTTACCGATCGCAATATGGAGCTCGAACCGGCGCGGAGGCTGCGATCCCAAGGCAGGTTCCTCATGCTCCTCCGGGAGATGTCGAAAAGTATATATCGCGCCCTGAGGTTCGGCCTGGACTGCTCCTGTGGTCACGATGTTGGCCTCCGGCTAGAGAGCCGGTCGGCTAACTTCATTCCGACCGATGACGATGAGAAGATCATGAGTGACACAGCATTCAAGCTTGCCCTCTCATATCGCTCGAGCCAGGAATACCCCGAGACAGCGGCATGGGATGAAAACGCGAAGATTTGGGAGGAAATCCGAGTGAAACCGACTGCAGCACTTGGGACGAAAGTACAACCAGAGGAAAGATCAATCCCGATGCGGCCGAGAGGGTTCAGGACGAAAAAGGCGGTTGCCTTTGCCCAACTCTCGCGCGCACACTCATCAGCCACAACTACTGTTGTGCAGACAGAACATGAAGTCAGTTCAGGACACGTGCATAGGAGTTTACACACTTCTATATCCCACCTCACCATGGGCGTCGCGAGCATAGGGCTGGTGAGCTTTGGCGCTACTGTGGATTTATGCCAGAAAATTCGGGACCCGAAAGCTGATGTTCAATCGTCCGGCGTTATCGTGGATCACATATCTCAGACGACGAAAACTTACGCCGTATATCGCGCACACCCTGTCTATATCCCGGCTTCGGATGAAAGAATCAGGCTTCGTCCGCAGGCTCTTATCTCTCTCAGGCAGGTCCTAGAGCAGAAAGTGCATATCCCATATAGAGATCGTCTACAGCTTGCCGCGACTATTTCATCCCGTGTTCTACAGCTATATGACAGCCCCTGGCTACGTCGCAGTATTAGCAGTCGCGACATTTACTTTATGAAGGCATATCATGACTACCCGTTATGGGACCACCCTTTAGTCATGAGGCAGAATAGGGACGTGGGTATAGCGGAGGGCACATCCAATCCAGGACATGCATTTTGCAACCCTACGCTGTTTTCCCTCGGAATCCTTCTTATCGAGATCATCCTAGGCAAGCCGTTTGATTCAGTTCGGACGAAAGACGAGAGCTCGAGAGACGAGAGCTCGAGAGACGAGAGCTCCGTACGGGATCCGGACGCAAAATCCCTTCGTGTTCGGACCCTAGGAGAGAGCTGCGCCGCTACATTTCTAACAGATTACATCACTGCGCAGCGTCTCGTGGATCAGAAGATCCCGAGCTCCAATTACAGCACGGCTGTTACGCGTTTGATTGGGGGCAGCAGCAAGTTAGATGCTTCGGGCCTAGAGAGCGAGGACTTTTGCCAGGAAATCTATTCAGGGGTGGTAGCATTACTAGAGAAGGACTTGGCATATAGCTAAGCTTGACTGGAGAGGCACTCAAGGCACGAAAGGAACGAGAGCAACGAAAGGAACGAGAGCAACGAAAGGAACGAGAGCAACGAAAGGAACGAGAGCAACGAAAGGAACGAAAGGAACGGGAGGAACGAAAGGAACGAGAGCAACGAAAGAAACGGGAGGAACGAGAGGCATCAGCTATTGACGACAGATATAGTGTTCGCCTCCGATTGAAATCAGTTCCGTTGCCAGCATTGAATCTGGTCCGTGAGGAATTGGGCTGACGGCCGACAAGTGGAGCAACAACGCTAAAGAGCTCGGGCTTTCGGGCGCTGGGCACGCCGGAACCGCACCATCCGGATCAGCCCAGCCCAGACCGCGCCGCTCGGTCGGCAAATCACGACTGCCAAGTAAGTAATTGAATCGACCCTCCCCCCTGCCCAACCAGAAGAGTCAGGAAACCTCTTTCAGCACAACCTGCAAAGGCCAGCAACGCGAATTCTTCACGTTGACAGAGCCATTTGAAGCCGATCATGGCGAACCACAAGTACGAGTTTGGCGGGCCGTAAGTTTGCCTGCGAGAACCCCAACTCGAAAGCGCCAACCAGAAATTTGCCAGGCTAACTCCGCGCTCCCCTATCTCAGACCCGGCGCCACCGCCATTGTCTTTGGCCTGCCGCTGTTGTTGAACTTCTTGTTCCTCACTTGCAACGACCAGACGGGTTGCCCTGCGCCGGCGCTGCTCAGTCCCCGAACCCTGTCTTGGGACAAGCTGAAGGCGCAGATTCCATGGCCGGAGGAGGGCCTGGCTGGCTTCGTCAATTGGGAGACTTCAGCCTGGGTCGCGGCGTACTATCTACTGAGCTTGATCCTATATCGCGTGCTGCCGGCGCAGGAGGTGTATGGGACGAAGCTGCGCGAGTCTGGCCGCCCTCTCAAGTACCGTTTCAATGGTAAGCATCCTTCCCGAGATCCTGGTATGGGTGTGGGGGTATCTCACAGTGATTGACTGACGCTTGGACAGCCTTTCATGCTACGGTAGTGCAGGTGCTGGCCTGCGCCGTCGGCACGGCCCTCTATGGCGCCGAATTTGTCGTCTGGACATTCATCGACCGCAATTACTTGCAGATCTTGACCGCCAACATCCTCCTCGCCTACGCCATCTCTCTTTTCGTGTACGTACGCAGCTTCAGCGTCAAGCCGCGCAATGAGGACTTGCGCGAGCTTGCCAGGGGTGGCACCACGGGAAGCATCATCTACGACTTCTACATCGGGCGCGAACTCAATCCTCGCATCACCCTGCCTCTCATTGGCGAGGTCGATCTCAAGGCTTGGCTCGAGATGCGGCCTGGTCTCACTGGATGGCTTCTACTTGACCTTGCCTTTATCGCGAGGCAGTACCGCCTGTACGGCTACGTGTCCGACAGCATCGTTCTGGTGGCGCTCGTTCAGGGTTATTACGTCCTCGAAGGGCAGTACGCAGAGGCAGGCATCCTCGGAATGATTGACATCACGACCGATGGCCTCGGCTACATGCTCACGTTCGGCGACATCGTCTGGGTGCCGTTCCTCTACTCGACACAGTGCCGCTACCTGTCCGTCTTCCCCGTCCACCTTGGTTGGGCCGGCATTGCTGCTATCGCGGTCGTCTTCTCCACGGGACTGTACATTTTTCGCTCGTCCAACAACCAAAAGGCCCTCTTCCGCACCAAGCCCGACCACCCCAGCGTCAAGGATATGCCGTACATACAGACCAAGCGCGGCACGAGGCTGCTCACGGGCGGCTGGTGGGGTGCCGCGCGCCACGTCAACTATTTCGGTGACTGGATGCAGGCTTTGCCCTTTAGCCTGCCGACTGCCATCTCGGGATATCTCATCCTGCCCGCAGGCGGCGCGGCTGCCATCGCGGGCGCCACTGGGGCTCTGCAGATGCTCGATGGCAGGGAGGTCGTCCAGGGTGCTGCTCGGGGATGGGGCATCGCGTACACGTACCTGTACGTCGTGTACTTTGCTGTCTTGTTGATCCACCGGGAGAGGAGAGATGATGCCCTCTGCGCCGAGAAATACGGCGAGGACTGGGACAAGTATCGGCGAACCGTGCGCTGGAGAATCTTGCCAGGAGTTTACTGACGGAGCTCCATACCTGTTTGGGTTATAGAGATGATTACACGATGGCAAGGCCGGCAGTGATAACATGCTGCGACCATACTGCCCTAGGTTTTCGGATCCTACATGGAGCAGGAGTTGACAAAGGAGGACAACAAAGCCAAGGTATATATATCGTTACATCATGTATACAGACGTAGTTTATAAACATTAATGCCATCGCTTTCACGCGCCCTTACCGGCGTCAATGTGAAGAAACGACTTGGGAACGACCCGCCTCCTGCCCTCGTCCCCGCTCGCGCGCTCCGACGACCCCTCGTGCAGCTGCTCCTGGCTCTCGTTGTCGCTGTCGAGCTTGACATCCCGGGTATACTGCCGGCCCTTTCCGTAGCCGCCGGCATACGCCGTTGTCTGAGTGCCGAACTGCCCATCGACGTTCGTAGGGGAGCCGCTCGTGCCCTGCGAGAACTCGGACATGACGTAGACGTTCGGGTCAAAGGGGTTGGCATTCCGGTTCTTGCTCTGCACAGTCTTGGAGTGCGGGCCAGTTCCGTAGGGGGCGCCGCTTGGGGCAGTGCGCGCTGACGTGATGCCGAGCTTGACGGCAACGAGCTTGAGGAGGGGCCGGAGCGTGGCCAGGCTGGCGGCGCTGATGGCCAGGCCCATTTCGATGGAGGACCAGATGACGATGTCGATGGTAGAATCTGGAGTCATGTGAGTACAGATATCCGGGATTGTGGTGGAGTCGCCTCGACCAATACGTACAAAGAAAGTCGGCATCCCTGAAGTGCTTAAGGAATGCGCACCGAACGACGAGTGCGGAACTTGCCCTGTAATGACAACATCGTCAGCTTACTCGCCCCTTGCGCATAATATTTCCACGGTCAGTGCAGTGGAGAGATGTTGGGGTAAACATACACGCAGCCCATGGCAATCAGAACAATGAGCGCCAACCTGGCCCTCATCTTGAGCTGCAGGTTCCAAATGACAAAGGCCGGAAGCACCGCAAAAGTGAAGTCGGTGACGATGCTGCAGATGCTGTAAAAGTAGGCGATGGACATGATGACGTCCATGCTCAGGCAGGTCCCGTCGATGTTGCCGCCGAGGCGGGTCCAGTAAAAGGACACCGGCTTGCACTGGAAAATGGTGACGAAGAAGAAGATCGTAGCGGCCAGAACGGAGAGGAGGGAGGCGGCGTAGACAACCCAGGCGTGGACTCTGGCCGTGGTGATGCGGAGGAGGAACCAGGCAAAGGACAGCTTGGAGCACACCATGCAGAGGATGTAGAACATGTAGCAGTACCACCAGTACTGTCAAGTAGCTGTTAGATAAATGAGAGACATCGGAAGTAGGGCGCATATGGGACATCGACGAGTGTTTGGAGTGTTACGCACCATCATGGCCTTTTCCCTCTGGAACGGGGACAAAACGTCCATGTGCTGGCCGGTCCCGTAATGGACGCCAGTGTTGGACATGGCAACATATAGAATGAAGAAGATCTAACGGACCCTCGATATCAGTAACGCGAACTCTCGGCCATTGTCTCGTCCGCTTCAGACGAGCTATGTGGTTTCCGGCACTTACTGCTGCCAAAATCATGAGCCAGTCATCCAGACCAAAGGCTTTGACAATCAGGGCCCGCGTGAAAACTCTCAACACCAGAATGACAACGGCCAAGGAGACGAAGAAGAGGTTCAGAATAAAGACACCGGGCCCCCGGTCGGCACCCATGACGGGCGCCATCTTCGCCTGCGTCCTCTCCTGCGATCAGGGAGAGGAGTCCACGTGCGTCGTCGTTTAATCGCCGTCGTATCGTAAATCGAACTTGTAGTGAATGCCGATATATACACTACGACCAGGGACGTGGAAAGGCAAGACCAGGGCAAGGAAAGAAGGAAGCAAAACCCTGACGGGGCAATCAAGAAAAAGAGGGTAGGTAAATAAGTGTATCGAACTGTGCGACCCCAGAAAAAAGGCGACATGGACATGCAGGCCCGGGTGGCAGGTACGCCACGAGGAGTTAAATCGGGTGTGTCATCTGTTGACAGCGCGCACAGTCAGCACTCGGCGAGAGAGACCTCGGCACCGGTGCGGTTGGTCAAGCTGTCGAGCACACTGCCGGGGCATTGATCGCACAGGAGCTGATTTGCCCATTCGTCTCTAGTGTCCACGGCCGGAGCACCCTAGCTCGCGTGCCAGGATGCCAGGGCGAGGCAAGCTCGCCGAGTCATGTTTGGTGCGGGAAGGTGGCGTATCTGTAGCTCGACGGACTAACGCCTCGACGAAAGGCTTGTCGTGGATGCTGCGTGGCTGCGTGAAAGAGGGGACGGACAACGGGGGCGACCCAGCGTGGAAAAGAGGGCTTGAAGAGAGACAGCTTCCCCCACCCCGCAAAGCCACACACGCTCTTGGGTGTCGAACCTCAACGACAGGGAGGGCGTGTGAGAGAAAGGGGAGCCGACAGAGCTCGGTCATTGAAGGCGAGCTATGGGCGGCAGGCGGCGGCCCTGGCCGAGAGGCAGGGTGGCAATGACTCGCAGGAGTTGAGATACGGTAGCTTGCAGCCTTGCCGTTCCTGACTCTTGGGATGCCCATCACTGCCGGGATGAAAGGGAGAGACGAATCGCAGCTGGCCAAGCTGTCGCCGACCGGAGGAGACATTTGATGCTCGAAGATGGGGATGGAGCGAGGTCGATGCCATGTAGTTGGTTGCTATTGATGACTTTCTCCGCAGGGCAACGTCGCTGCGATCTAGGTGTATCGCATGGCTAATGATTGATCTTGGTGCGACTCGGTTTCACAGCTACTAGAACGTAAATCGTTGACGGCTGTTCGTGTCCAACTTGTGACCCGACTTACACGCTCGTACGCTTTGACCTTCATGGTGCCTTTCACAGTGATCTACGCCTTGTGTACCCAGCCAATCCGTCTGAGCGTTGTCTGCCCACGAGCCGAGTTTCTTGACGGCCTGGATGCGAGCAGCAGAGGGGTGTCGCGACGCACCCTGGGTTGCTGCATCGGGATGGTTCGTCCGGGCCCAACATCTGAAGCGAGCCCGATCAGCACCGCCATTGCCTCCCAGGACAAGTTATCGAACCAAAAGTCGACATGCACAAGCCCTGACACGCTGTGTGTCTGGTTGGCGGCCAGTGGCAAAACCGCTGTACGACAGTACGAGGAGGCGCCGTATTTTGGCTTGGGCTGCGCTCCAAGTTAGCTGGGAGTGCTGGAAAAGCCCCCACGTGCGTTTCAAGTGGCAGCTCGGGGTGGAATTCCGATGCAAGTTTAGCGGCCGGCGCTAGAGGCCGGGACTGCCAGATAGCGTCGTCTGGCGCCGGCGAAGAACCTGAGCCTCGGGACGATCCACCGCCTTAGCACTGACAGACGCCTTGGTCCTTTCCACGCAGACAATCTTTGACTGGCAGGCGGAGCAGGGCGTGAAGGGGCACGGACGCACACAAATTCAGCAACCCACGCTAGGGGCTTGTCACGTCCAGCTTGTCGAACTGCTCCGGACGGACTGGTGCAGTTGGGATGACTTGGAACACGCCTCGTTGTCCAGGATTGACTGCCGATCTGGACAACCAGGCTCAACTGCTGAGGTCGACAGTGTTCTCGTGCTTTCATCTCAAATTCACTGGCTGGCGCAGACTTTGGTCACGTTGTGTTCATGATTGGCGACTCAATCGCCGGCTTGAGCGATGAGCATGTCTTCACCCAGGACGTGTCCGGAGAAGAGCATTTCGGGTCCGAGCAGAGACAGGGGTCCTGGTCGAGAGTGACCAAAGGCGGGGGAACCCCTTGGCGCCCCTGTGGCAGTTGGGGCCTCAACAATTGGAGTGTGTCATTCCTTCTTCTCTTGATACGCTCGCCGTGGATACGGCTCAGCTGCCCAGGCACAAGCTGCCGGCTGCGATTACGAGACTGCCGGCTGGTTCGGCAGACAGTCGGCGACCTGCCATGGCCGGAGTACAGGGGGCCAATATCGCGACTGAGCTGCCGCCGTGCAAACTGCCTCTGAACAAAGTCATGTCGCGTTCGCTTCGGCGGTGCTACAGCACTTCCTACAACTACATGTTGGTGCACCTGAGTCTTGTAGTGAGACCTGCAAGCCACTAGTCATGACCCCGCAGCGGCTTGCTGAACGAAGCAATTTTGCCTACGGGCGCCCGCCAGATCGTCATGAGCAAGCCGAAGGAGAATGGTGACATGGACCTGCTGCGAGTGTTGACCAGACGCCGCTTGCCTCTCCCTCCGTCGCTTGTACATTCATTTTGCCGGACGAAAGCACAGAATACAACCGGCAAAGCAGGGATGGCCCTGGATTGAGGCTCCACGGCTCCTCCTCCAAGGCAGGGCATCGCCGTGGTGGAGCTTTCCGCCACGGCCCCTCTTGCCCTGCGAGATTTCAACTGCGCGAGATCTTGCATGGCAAGACCTACACCGCACGTTGCGAGGCCTACACACCACCTCTCCATGTCAAGACCGTTGTGGATCGCACCGCATTGTTGCAATAGCACCATTTGCGCGTTCACGTAAGAGTCAGCCCCCGTTCGCGCCGTAACGCACATCAGTATACTTCTGTCTTGAAGCGCTTGTCCCTGAGCGGCTTTACACCCATTTGAGCGACTATTTGGAGGGCAAATGCGGTCCCTACCTCGAACGATGCTGTTATCGTTACGGCGAGCGGAGTAGTTCCGTCAGCTTTACATGGATGAGGCACATTACTTGCCGAACCACGGACACGGTGCTGCCAGATGCCGCTCACCCCTGGATCGGAGATGCCTCTGCCGTGCCCAGCGCAAATGCCTTGCATCAACCTTGATCGTGGTCAGCCGGAATCGACCGATAAGCCTGCGGCTATTGGCATTCGATATGGCAAACTCGGCATATGCGCTCGTCCTTTGACGTGCCTTATCAGCCCTAGGAGAAGGCGTCGCGGTCGCCCGGCTTCCAACTCCCTCCTGCCTCAATGCATCAATGAGATTTAGGTTTAATTACCTTCTCGTGTCTGCTTACGATCTCGTCCCCGCTTACAACCTCATCTCTGCTGATGACATCGTCCATGCTGACCGACCTCATCTCTGCTGACCGTTGAGCCTGGATCTTCCGCTTCGAGATAGGATTGTTGGGATTGTCAGCCACCTGATGACTGAACTCTGAATATTTAGGAAATACTGCTCGTTGGAGAGCAAGGGATCATCACCGCGCCCTCAAAGGTAGCAGCAGCCACTGCAGAGTAGCGATAATGTTGGGTGCCAATTGCATCGGCGACCATAACACACCGCAACCATACGAAAGCAATGGCGGCTAAGATGTCGACTGCAGCTCCATCAAATAGCTCATTGGCATCTCTAGCAAGCACAGCAAAGGCAATGGAACGTATCAATGCATTCCACTGTGTTACTCGCTCACGTGCGTGACCGCAATGCCACCTCAGAGTTGCTCCTCACCTCCGGCGTTCCTCGGGAGGAGGGATTGAGAAGAAGGACGTCCGCCGATGTCAATATCATCCGATAGCAGGTCAGGCTACTGGCCCCTTCTCGCGCAATGATGCCGGCGTCTCGTGCTCCGGAGCGCCATTGACTCTTTCAAATGCAACAGGCCGTGGTGTTGTTCACGTTGTCGCATCCATTGATGGCTCTGGCGTGTTGAGTCAGGCTTGGGCCCAACAACGTCTCCTGGAGGACTCGAGAAGTGCCACCGGCGGCGCGATGTTTACGGCGGCAAAGGAAGGGAGGGTGATAAAAGAGCAAAGGCCGCGACGATTGTTGGAAGCCTTGAAGCACAGCACGCCCGCGCTGACCGCACGACGATTCTCGATGTGACCGTGCCTGAGGCTCAACAACTTAAGCGCGGCTTCAGGCGGCGCTACGCGCAGTGCGACCCGCACCTCGCTCTTCAGACGAGGCCGAGGCCGAGATGTGACGCTGATCCTGAGCTAATTCTGTCTCGTGTCCGTGGGCTTTGTCTGGCTCCGTGGCGAGGCAAGTTTGATCCAGTCAAATCCAGCCCAATGAGTGCGCCAATGCGCGCGAGCTTATACGCCGCATGCCTGCGTCGGATCGTGCCGCCGTTTCGGCTCGGCTCGCGGCTTCACGTTGACACACCGACGCGGTGACCGTGATACAAAGTCGAGGACAAACTTCCGCTGACAAAGAGGAGTCTACCAAGGTATTTGGCTTCGGTACTTGGAGGTCATTGACTCGTCGGCGTTTGACGCGCTTGGGCCCGATCTACGCTCCGCGCTTCAACGTCCCCCTCCAATACTTCATGTTGTCATCCAATATTCTGCTTTGCGGTCAGGCTCGGTTCGACCCTGAAGCAGAAAGACCCGTTCTGCGGTATTCCACCAGCTGTGAATCTCGTAATGGCGATCTGTCGTCCGAATTGACTGGCGCGGGTGTTTCCGAAAATGGCAAGCTGGAACACGATCGCCGACAGCCAAGATTCGACGTCGTAGTCGGGGATTTCGGACATGCACATCGTAGACCGCAGACCCACCATGATTGGCAATGCTGACGAGGGTCTTTGAAGGAAGCTGTATAAATGAGCTTAACAGGACGTCCGTCCCCTGCAGTACGCGGTGAGCCCAATCTCTCATCTGCAAGCATCAGTCGTGCAGAGTCCTGCTTCAGTCTCCCATCATGACGGTCACACGCAAGCCAAACAGGAAGAAGCCCCTTCTCTTCTTTACATCATTCCCGGGCGAAGGCCATACAAACCCCGTACTCGCCATCGCGGCGTCTCTGGTCGCCAAAGGGTACGAGGTCGTCTACCTCTGCTCCCCTGGCTACCGCGACAGGATCACAGAAGCGGGTGCCGAGTTCATCGAGCTACCATGGGAGCTGAGAGGCCAGTCCATCGAGGAAAGGATGCTTCTTGAAAAGGTACCAATCGGCTTGGATCGGGCCGCAAAGCAGCTTTCCCACGTTTTCTACAAGGACCTGAGAATCCGGGTAGAGGCCGTTACGAGAGCGCTCGAGGATCTGCGCGCCAGAGATCCGAGTCGACAAATCATCATGGTCGAGGATGGTCCCAACATGGGCGCCATGCCCTTTCGCTACGGCAGGCCTCTGCCGCGGGGCTTCAGCGAAATGCCCAAGACGATTGGCATCAGTCCGACGCCCCTCATGCTGCGCAGCCAGGACACGGCACCGTTCATTCTCGGCCTCCCGCCTGACTCATCGCATTCGGGCAGACAGCGGAACGAGTGGCTGCACCGGCTTGTCCATGATGGGCCCTTTAAGCCGCTCGTCGAGGCCTGGCAGAGAGCCCTTGATGAGTGTGACTGCACAGTGGTCCCATCCGGCAGTCCATTGAGTGCCTGGCATGAAGGCTATGACAGCCTGGTGATGCTATGCTCGCCGAGTCTCGAATATGCACTTTCAGACATTCCTAGCTCGGTCGAGTTCGCGGGATGCCTGCCCCGGCGCGGCATCGCAAAGACAATCCAGTATCCAGAGTGGTGGTCAGAGGTCACCCAAAACGCGCAACGCGCGGACAGAAAGATCATCTTCGTTTGCCAAGGGACAGTCAACGTAGATTGGAGCGAGCTGGTTATCCCAACGATAAATGCCTTTGCAGGCCGAGAAGACGTGCTGGTCATTGCCGCCCTCGGCCGTCGCGGAACATCTCTCGAGCACGATGCCGTCACAGCGCCGAACATACACGTCATCGACTACATCCCGTACGACGCCGTGCTTCCTCTCGCAGACGTGTTTGTTTCCAACGCCGGATACGGCGCCTTTTGTCACGCGGTGACAAACGGCGTGCCCGGCGTGTTCGCCGGTCAGACGGAAGACAAGAGCGAGGTGGCGATGCGTGCCGAATGGGCTGGCTTCGCGGTCAACATGCGCCGGCAGCGCCCGGGCGTCGAGCAGCTACGCGAGGCCGTGGAGGAAGTGTTTGGTGATAAGCGGTTCAAGGCCAAGGCACTTGAGCTCAAGGCGGAGAATGAGGCGCTGGACTCTATGGCGCGCATCGAGCGGGTGGTTGAGCGCTGGACTGAGTGAGCGACAACTGAGACTCTTGTATTTACGATGACACGATTCCACTCCCTTATGTAAAATACCCATTCTTGAAACAGGCCGACAATTGGGCAGGTCCACGAGCAAGTTTGTGTGAAATGCAAGTAAGGCAATACGGTTAACCCTCCAGGCGATGTCCAACGGAGTCTCGGTCGGTCAAGACAGCAACGCTTCATCCTCCGAGCAAGGCGCCCACTCAGGCTGCTCTGACAGCCGTGATTCCATCGCCCTTCTCTTCCATTGGCTGAGCGGAAGTCCCGTCGGCGGCGTCCTGCTTCTCGCGAGCCACCTCGAAGAACATGTTTCGCTTCGGGCTGCAAATAATTCACGTCAGCTATCCGTCGGCTGAGGGCGGGAAAGAGAGCATGACGTACAGGAGGTACTTGACGTCGTAGATGCGCAGTCCCACCGTGAGGATAATCACCAGTGTGAGCAGGGCGATAGCAGACTGCCATCCATATTTGTCTAGAGCCGCAATCAGTACAAGTGCGCAACGAAGATGGCTGTGCGACTCACAGTATGGTGCTTGACTGGCAGGCCAAACGAGCACTTGACTCCACGCTGAAATGGCGTAGTAGCCAGCAATGGCGGCGCCGACAGTCAGGGATCGATCCTCCGGATCCTGAGGCTTGCTGAAGGGCGGGTCAGCAAGATATTGACGGTTGGTATGGGGGATTGGTGCTTACAGATCAGAGAGCCAGGCCCAGATCAACGGTGCAGTGCCCAACGGGATATGAGACAGGAAGTATCCAGCGTACGCCGCTGAGAGGGGTGTTCCCGTGGGATGAGTGGTCCAGATGCTGAGGATGATGCCGGCAATGATTGCGATGAACGCTATGGGAGAGTGAGTGCTGTATATTCTGGGATAAGGGGACTGTAGGCTTACCTTGAGCTACGATCAAGAGCCATCGTGTACGCAGAACGTCGGACAAAAAGGCCCAGACCCAAACTTTGCAACATATTAGCCTTTCTTCGTCACACAGTGCTTGATTCCGTCTTACCGAACACGACATTGATTGCGCTGCCGCCAATCGGAATCAGATTGACCTCAGACGTCGTCCATCGCCGTGTTCCATCACTGTTCAGGATGGACTTGAGGAACAGGCCAAAGTAGTTGTAACCAGACGTTCCGAGGACCATGGAAATGTAAAGGATCGCAATGACGTAGACAATCCAGCCAGAGAAAGTCCGCCTTTCAAGGGTATTAGCAATGCTCTCAATTGTGTGAGTATTCATCACGTACAAGGCGGAAGCCCAAGTAATCGGCTTAGAGTCCACGCGATTCGTTCTCTCCAGCCGAAGCCGGGAAAATTCTGCATGCTTCTCCTTGAACCAAAAGGCCCACGGGTTAGGCTTGTAGGGAGAATCGGGGATCATGAAGTACCCAGCGAGGCCCCAGATGACTGTGATGATGGCGTTGATGACAAAGAGCCACCTGCGAAACCGTCAGTACCGAGTCTCATCAACGGTAAAGCGGCTTCCTCACCTCCAGCCGGTCAGGCCGTATCTGCCGCCCAGAGTGTTTACAATGGCGGCTTGCATGGCGCCAGACATCATCTGCCCAATGGCTTGGCAAGAGTGATAGAAGCCAATGCGCTTGGCCATCTCAATCGGAGTGTACCAGTACACTATCACCCTGTCAGAAAATATATGAAGGCAAGGTCTCGAGTAGATTTGTGCTCACTGAAAAGAGTAATCATGCCGGGATACGCAGCACTTTCGCACAATCCGAGGAAGACACGAAGGATGTAAACTTGAGTGGCGTTAGTGGTAATGGCCATGAGGCCGGTAATGACACCCCAAATCACTTCCAGGGATGGAAGCCACCAGCTGGGTCTGACATATGTGAGGATGATTTGAGATGGGATGAGCATGATGCAGTACGCAATGTTGAAGTATGTGGTGAAACTGCACAAGGGAGGAGAGCAGATGTCAGCAGATTGTCGAGACGCTCACAGATTCGAGGGGAGACGCACTAATTCAACTCATTCCCGTAGAGGTGCAGGTCCTCTTTCATTCCAGAGACGTAGGCGTTGCTGATGTTGGACTGGTCGAGGAACCTTTGAGACGGTCAGTACCGACTCGATGTGGAGTCGAGTGATCATGTACATACTTGATGACTGTATCGCGGTTAGTTTTTGGCCTGATCAACGCCGTGAACCGTCACCAGATCTTGGACCCCTCACCTTGCGAAATGCAGCCAAAGGTCAGCAGAAAGATGTCGAGCCGCCATACAAAGGCGCGCTCGCCCTGCGACGTCTCATTGGTGTGTTGCGCCTCTCGCGGGCTTCTCCTAACGAAGCCCAGAAGCTTCGCCATGTCGAATTTTCGTTTGTCGTCTGAATCGTACCCTGCAAGAAAAGCTGACGAGAGTTGGCTTCGACAGATGGGAGAAAAGGCACCAACGAGCGGGGTTGGGAGAAGGGATCAAAAACATCACAATGCGTTGGTGACCGGCCAGATGCCGATCTCGGCTGGGTCTGGGAAGATCAGGGGTTTGTCACCTTGGTGCAGGGGACACTAGTGTACGCGACGAGGCGAACCGTGGGGGTTCGCCATGTTCTGCTTGTGGGGTGATTGCGGGGGAAGAAAGAGGCACCACCAACCCGCTCGGTCTGTCAGACAGTCGGCGGCGATAACGGCGCCCTCTGCAACTTGTCTGAACTCGGAAGGATGGCCCCCCCGTGCTGTAGCGGGGACGAGTCTCAGGGCCAATGGCACCGGATGGCATTTGGTAACAGAAAAGGATCACAATCCTGGAAGATACGGACAACGTGTTCCTCTCCAGATGATACGCTCCCCCTAGAGTCCCACACCAAAGCGACCAACACTCACTTCATCAGGATTTGCAGGCGTACTGTACCGCCCGTTGGCTGGAGCATCTTGAGCCCTTGATCGTATCACGGGCCGTGTGGGTTGGGGTTTCATCGGCAGCGACACCGTGCGTTGCATGAGCGGCACGCTACGGGCCAATCCGTGCGCCCTGTCTCTCACCAGAGCCCGATGTGGCAATTCCTGTTGCCAGAAGATGTGGAATTAACGTCTGGGCAAGAATGTGGTGCTTCTTCTCCAGGGTCACCATGGCCGGACCAAGCCGGATATACATTGATCTAGGTCTGGGCACGCAATGCCGTGCATGCAGACACTGCGAGCCGTTGCGGCGGCGTTCAGCCCGGCGGCGTCCGTTGCCAAAACAGGAAACCGGCCGGGTTGGCTGCCGAAAGGCACAAGTTCCTGGCTCCCGAGTCCCGACCAGGAGGCAGAAGACGCGTATTTTGGGTGACTCAGCTTCTGATTATCAATCTTTCTTCTGGTGATGATGACATGCAGCAACAGCGAGTTTGAGCTCGACTGGGACAGGAGGCATTAATACCCCCTCTGCCAGCAGAGGAAAGGCGCAATCCGCCTCGATTGCTCCAACAGGTGGCCGCTCACCAGCCATCTAGAGACACGCACAGATGGGCCGCACTCACCATGTCTCAGCGGCCGGCGCTGGGGCCGGCAGCGGCAGCACAACCACCGTCACATTGGAGACCCCAGCGGCAGAGTCCGCCCTGGCCATTCTCAGCCCCAATGCTGCGACAAGCTCACGACCGTCGACGGAGCTTCGCAGCGACGACGTGTCGCCGGCAGAGGCGACGAGCACCTCGCCCACAGGCACGGAGGCGCTGGGCATCTCGAAGTGGAGGGGCATCACAGTCATCGTGACGCTTGCGGGCATCAGCTTCCTCAACACCATGGGCTCCGGCATCCTCATCGCGGCCCTCCCCCGCATCGCCGACGACGTGGGGCTCTCGGAGGCTCTGATCCTCTGGCCGGCCGCCGTCTACGCCCTGGCAGCCGGTTGCCTGCTCCTCGTCTTCGGTGCTGTCGCCGACGTTATCGGTGCGAAGCTGATGTGGCTGACGGGCAGCTACCTCTTCGTCGCCTTCACCTTGGGAGTCGGCCTCGCGAGGACGGGCCTCCAGATCATCGTCTTCCGGACGCTGCTCGGCGCAGCCATCGCCATGTGCCTGCCCACGGCCGTGGGCCTCATCTCGCACACGTTCCCGCGCGGGACCTGGCGCAACATCGCCTTTGCGATGAACGGCATGGGCAGCCCGCTAGGGTACGCGCTCGGGCTCGTCCTCGGCGGCGTGTTCGCCGACACCATCGGCTGGCGGTGGGCGTACTACATGATGGCCATGATTAATGTCTGTCTCTCGACGTGTGCCATCTGGTCGCTGCCGCCTGTGCGGGTCTCGTCGGAGCGCAAGTGGACAGCGCGCCTCATGCACGACATTGACTGGGTCGGTGCGGTCATCATGAGCGCCGCGCTGGGCATGCTGCTCTACGTCCTGGCCATGACATCGTCGTCGTACAAGAAGCTTAGCGACGCCGCCAACATTGCCACGCTGAGTGTGTCTCTTGTCCTCCTCGCCAGCTTTCCGTTCTGGATGGACTACCAGACGAGACGTGGCAAACCTGCCCTGATACCAAATAGCTTGTGGAAGAACTGGTCGTTCACTTCCGTGTGTATCGCCGTCTTCTTTTGCTGGGCGTCGCTCAATGGCATCGAGTACTTTACGACCCTGTAGTGAGTATGACCCGAGGGCGGCGTGCTCTCCTTTCGCAGCTCTGCACAGTAACTGACAAGGCTTTTGTAGCTTCCAGAAAGTAGAGGGATTGTCGGCGCTGCAGAGCTCCCTGCGCTTCTTGCCGCACGTCATCATGGGGACGTCAGTAAACATCATCACGGGCCTGCTGATCTCGCGGGTCAAAGTGCGCACGCTGGTGGTCGTTTCGGCGCTCATCAGCATGGTGGCCCCGCCGCTCATGGCGACTGTCGACGTGGGTGAGAACTACTGGCTCGCGCCTTTCTGGGCCATGTTTTTGTCGCCAGTGAACCCAGACGGTAAGCACTTGTCGCTCGCGCGAGACAATGTCCACATAGCTGACCGTTTGTAGTGCTGTTTACGGTGTCGAATCTCGTCATTTCTGATGCGTATCCTCCCGAGATGCAGTCGCTGGCCGGCGGCGTCTTCAACGAGGTTGGACAGTTCGGCAACTCGGTCGGGCTGGCCATCACGGCGGCCATTGCGGCGTCGGTTACGGAGCACACCGACGCGGAGGCTGTAGACGCGCTGATGAAGGGGTACAGGGCGGCGTTCTGGACCATCTTCTCGAGCTGTGCCGTGGTTACGGTCGTCGCGTGGTTTGGGCTGAGGAAGGGCGGCATTGTAGGCCAGAAGAGAGACTAGACAGTCGCGTTTTCTTCTCATGGCGTTTCCTGCGTTTCTTTGAGACGGACTCAAGTGGCGGGTGCCGTGCCAATGGGTTGACAAGCGCGTTGGCAATGGCACAATCGTCGACGCCGCCGCGGCAAGATCGGTCGGCCCCAAGTGCTTCGACATTGTAGCGATAGATAGCCATAACGGCGACGCCTCGGCGCAATCGAAGCTCGTCGATAGCAAAGCACAAGAGTTGAAAAATCAGCATTTGAGTCACGGATTCTGCATCCTGAAATGAGCCGCCAAGAATGCCCGGACTCACCTCGCTCCTGACATGCAGTGAGGCTCAGCGGAAATGCCACCAACCCGTCAAATCCGCCGATCGCAAAAGTCATTTCGACTCATAGCGGGGCAACCCACTGGAGACGCAGACCCTAGCGACGTTAGTGGCTGCTTCGCGGGGCCGGACCGAGGGGCAGCATCGCACTTCGTGGGACCGGAGGGGGAAACCAACTTGAACTTGGCATGTCACTCCATTGTTGAGCATCTTTTCAATGCAATCCTAGACGTCGCTGGTCGACGTATATAAGGCGTTGGACAGAGCTCTAGGTGTCTCGTCAATCCAGCAAGTCAACTCTCTTTTCAACGTTCAATCTCGCACGCTTTCTGTGCCCTTGATGCCCGTCACGACCGCGTCCATCACCTCCACCACCACTTCGACCTCACACACCATGGGCTCCCTTCCCGCGTACCCTCGCCCCGAGGGCGTCGACGAGATACCGCGCGAGCGGCTGGACCTGCGGCCCGACGCCGACGTCGACCACGACCTCCTCCACCCCAAGCCCGTGACGGACGAGAAGAACATCTGGTTCTTTTGGCACAGCGGCTTCTCCCACATGCACCACTACGCGCGGCGCACCGTCCGGGCGTGGCATCGCCGCTTCTCGAAACAGGGCTGGGTGGTGCGCGTCATGGACCGCGAGCCCGACTCCCCGCTCAACATTGCCAACTTCCTCGACATCCACGACCCCAACACCTTTCCCAAGGCCTTCCTCGACGGCACCATTGGCGGCGACTACGCGCCCCAGCACACTTCTGACCTCGTCCGGTGGCCGCTGTTAAATACGTACGGTGGCGTGTATGCCGACGTCGGCATGATCCAGATTGGCGACCTGGACCGGCTATGGAATGCCACCGTCGGGGACCCCAATTCGCCATACGAGGTCATCTCGTACAATGCCGGCGGCGTCAACGCACGCAGCCTTACCAACTACTTCTTCGCCTCTAGGCGCAATAGTCCGCTCTTTGAGCGATGCCACAAGCTGTTCCTGGCGCTCTGGGCCGCGGACGGTGGCAAGTCGAGCACCGACGGCATGCATGCGAGCCCGCTGCTGGAAGGTGTGCCCATGATGGGTGCCGACATGTCTTTTGAGGAGGACGGAAAGACGTACGGGCCTGCGGAGGTTAGCAAGATGCTCACCGACTACATCATCCAGGGCCAGGTCTTGACCATGGTCATGGGCCTCGTCGACGAGTCCGACAACTGGAATGGCCCCGAGTACGTCGCCAAGCACGTCTGGGCAACGGACTACATGGTCGGCTCCCAGCTCATCAACGAGATGACGGCGTGGAACGGCCCGCGGCAATTCGAACTCATGTCCCTGCCGCTGCCCAAAGACGGCGACGCGGAAACCAAGGACCAGAAGCTGGCGCGTGAGATTGTGGGGGCCTGCCTGTCCAAAAGCTTCGGGTTCAAACTCGCGCACGGGTTGATCCTCAGGGTCCTGGGCGACACGCTCGGGTCCCTGTGGAGGAAACACGATGGCGCCGACGACGTACCGGGGACGTACGGCAACTGGCTGCGATACGGCACGGTGCACTGGGCCCCCAAGGAGCTGCCCCCGAGGCTGGAGTTTACGGTAGCGCCCGCCGTGAAGATTGGGTCGCTGTTGGGAGACGGACGCCTTGGGCCTGGTGCCAATGGCGGCGTGCCGGCCTTTGAGGCCCAAAAATAGATGACGACTGTACACGACTGTAGATGACTGGAATTATAGAAGCGTGGTCGGAATAGTAGATCTGGCCGAGAGGCGACAATACATATACTTGGTATCTGTATCTGAACCGTATGAGTTGACAAACTGCGCCATCGTGTCGTTGCCACCCCTCGTCATCGAATGCTCCAAAGCGGACGCACCGTCTGGGCTTTGTACCCAGGCAAGCCAGGGTCCATTTCAGGCCGTGGCGAGTCTCGCATGGCCTTCCGGGAGTGGCAGCGAATCAAGGAAACCATGGCCCTTGCCATTTCAGGATTAGACGCCGCAGCTCTGACGGACCCCCCGTAGGTGCGGACGCACTGATGCAAGTGCGGATGCGGGTGCGGGTGCGGGCGCCTCATGTGGGGATGCCGATGCGAGGGCACCGACTGCGAAGACGGCCGAGCATGCCGAAGTGTCGAGGACCAGTCATCATCGTCATTCCCTCAGCTATGTCACTATGCAGGCGGATCTTATACCCATGGAAGGTAGCGGGATCCGTTTGTCTGCCCGTGCCTTAAAATGCTTTCTCTCTGTGCGGAACGAACTACATGCATCATTCATCATTCTGTAGCCCTGGTGAACGCAACTCGCTACCTTGAGCGCTGCAACTGTACGTCCCGGCACACAACATGGCTTCTCCACTGATGGCGCCTCAAATAATGCATTCCTGGTTCCCGTGGACGCAAAAGCCACTCATCCTTAGCGCGCCCATGTACGGGGTCTCCAATGCGACTTTGGCAGTAGAGGTGTCCAAGGCGGGCGGATTCGGTACGTGAGACACATCTACCGCTCAAGCAACCGTCCTTTGGGCAAGAGCTTATACGCTTTGTATGAGCCGGGACTTCAACATGAGATTTTGCTGCGAACTAGGAAAATAAGAATGAGTCTAATAAACCACCGCCAGGCATTATACCGGCCGGGTTCAACTTCAGCCCCGGACATCCCCAGGTGGTCGCTTTGGAGGCGGAACTCATCCTGGCGCGGAAACTCCTGGGCATGACCAGCGAGCCGGGCAAACAGATGCCCGTCGGTGTCGGGTTCATCACCTGCCACGAAACAGTCGCCCACTTCAGTGAAACGGTGCTGCCTCTGCTGGAAGAGCACAAGCCCGCGGCCGTCTGGCTTTTCGCGCCGGACCCAGCGTCGCGTGTGCGCGCTCATCCAGATATTATCCGCCGCCTTCATGAGAGTGGGATCAAGGCCATTGTTCAGGTCGGCAGCGTGGCCGCGGCACGAGAAGCCATCCAGGATGGCAGCGACATCATCGTGGCCCAGGGCACAGATGCGGGAGGTCACCAGTTCGCGCTCGGGGCGGGGCTGATGACGCTCGTTCCTGAGATTAGAGCGATGATGCAGGCAGAGTTCCCTGCTCGTCAAGTCGGTCTCGTGGCTGCAGGAGGAATCATGAATGGTGGCGGTGTTGTCGCTGCACTCGCGCTAGGTGAGCTTCGATACGGGCGTGTTGAAGTTTGCGCTTCGCCGTTGGGCCATCACTTACCAATGATGCAGGCGCCGAGGCTGTTGTACAAGGCACAAGAGTATGTTCCGCTCAGACATGTCAGTGAGATTTCGCTAACCCTAGCAGTTTATCGTGGCGAGAGAGTCGACCGCGTCGGAGTCGTACAAGGGCACAGTTCTCAGAGCGCGCGATGGCGGCGCCATAACCATCAAGTGAGGCCCTGGTCTGGTGGCGACATGCCAAGCTGGGCATCTTAGCTAACTGTGGAAAGGTCGACGATTCACGACGACATCCAGGGGACGCCCATCTGGCCGAGCCTTTACGACGGACGAGCCATCATGGGAGACTCGTATCACGATCATGAAGCCGGCCTTTCGATGGCGGAGAACATCAAGAAGTACCAGGACGCGAAGCAGTCGGGCGACGTGTCTCGATCAATTACGTGGTGGTTCGTGGCCCGTCTACGGAGAACGCCGTATCGGCGAAGCTGCTGCTGACCATCGAATAGCGGAACCGGCGTTGGCCTTGTAAATGACGAAATGACGGTAAAGGACATGTTGGAGGAAGTGCGAGGTGAAGCAATCGCGATTATGAGTTCTCTCCGGAATAGCGTCAATTAGTGTAGAGGGGTGGAATTGGATCATGCCTCATCGAAAGACGGCGGCCATTAGAGCTCTCCTTGCGCTCACTTCCGTCCTTGAATGGATCTGTTGTACTCTGCCTCGTATCTCAACATAAACCCTCATGAGACTCAAGGACGAACACTGAGCGACTCTTCGTCGTGGAAACAAGACTGTGCGCCATTATGGGGAGGATGGGGTGGTCCAATCTTGTCACGCAGTGCATGTAAGCGCTGAAGAAAGCCGGAGGCGGTGGAGCCTGGCAACCTGGAAGTTCACACAGGTGCCACGCTGACACGTCTAGCGCATGTTACAGTGGCCCAGGGTAATTATTCAGCCCTGCGGCATTGCCGACAGCGCACGAGCCGCGCGGTAGCAACTTCCAGGTTCCATCCTTACAGGGCGTGCCAGGGCACAGGCACCTGTCGCTCCACTTCTGCCCTCCACTGGAATCAGGGGTCCTGGAGATTGACAGCCCTGGTGGCGTCCGCCGCCACGACGGACTCTGTGCTATTCTGGCACTCCATGCGACGCCCAATTATTCAGCGGCTTGGCCGTGGCGGAAAATTGTCGACGTCCTGCTGGTGGCTTCCGTCCATCCTGCGTGACGACCGTTCAAACGACGAGGGCTGCATCGCATGGCGTCGCATGGAACGGGTCGGATCGGGAGCGTCACGTGCGCCACGCCACAATCTGACGGCTGATGGCAGCCCTTCACGATCCCGAAGCCCTTGACATCATCATCTCATTCTCATTTTGCTCAACGACTACTCATTGCTGCCATGTGATTGAAAGCGCAAGTCCATGCACACGATCCGCCCATCGCAGGCACCTCAATCGAACCGAGATCAATGCCGGCTAGGAACACGGCAGCGGGAGCGAACGACGGGAGCAGGTCGCGCGCGTGTGACAGGTGCACGCGGAGCAAACGGGGATGCGACAAGGCGTGGCCCAGGTGTGGCCGGTGTCAAAGGTGTGCATTGGCATTGTTGCGCGCGCTTCATCATCTTCTGGCTAACGGGTCGTGACGTATAAGGCTCAACACGCCTTGCTACTATGAACCGCGCTCCAACTCACCTAGCACGGCCCCTTCCGATTCTCCCGATTTGATAGCGACGCGATCGTCGAGCGAGTCCAGGACGGTAGACGCTTGGACGACTCTCGAGTACAGCTCTCACGAACCCGATGCTCTATCGAGGAGGCTCAAGCTTGACTGGCGCCAGACGGCGTCGCTGTACTTCCAGACCGTTCACCCTGTACGTATCGTGACCATCCATTTACCCTACCCTTGAATTTGATCCTCCTTCATCGGCCGCCTGGTGCTTCAATTACCCGTCGCCCAACTCTAACCATGCCCAGTGGTTCAGCATTCTGCGCCAAGACAAGTTCGAAGAGGCCCTCCTCCGGCTCCAGTACGCGGGCGTACAAAGCGAAAGAGGATATCACGACACAAATTCTAGTCCGCAGGATGACGCCTACGAGTTGCTAATCATCTGCATGCACCTTCTCACCACGACAGCACATACCCACGGAGACGACGATATCATCGTCAACCCCCTCTACCAAAACGCCAAGCAACGGTTTGCCTCCGTCTCATACCTATCAGATCCGACTTTGGAGTGGATTCAGGCTGGACTCTTAATATCGCTCTTCGAGTTTGGAAATGGCAAGACCAAGCTGGCCTATCGGAGCTTGAGCGAGACAGCCACCCTCGCTCGACTAGCTGGAGTCAACCCCGGACAGTACCAAAAGGACCTACACTCGGAATTCGACGTGGACGCTGAGTGCCGGCGAGCTCTCTGGTGGGGCATCTTTATCCTTGACCAGTAGGTTACGACCCCGAGCCATGCACTCGGCAGGCGAGACCTGGCAGTCGACTAACCTAAACAGATTTGCCCACCTAGATCCCGCCCTCAGAAATTTGCCGAGCCTATCCAGCAGCCCCGACAATGATGCCCTGCTTCCTACTGCGGGCGTAGTTGTGGATGGCGACCGCCTCCAAAGTTACGTCGTCAACTTGCCTGTCAGTGCGCCCGTCTCCATCGCCCTCGGCGGGTTCCAGAGGGCTGCCCAAGCAGCTACCGTGCTGTACCAAGCTCGCGAATGGGACAGGAGAGTTCGGCAAGGCGACGCCGACCGCGGTGTCTCTAGCTTTGAGGACCTAGACGGGAGGATACGAGCACTCCTCGATGCCATGCTTAACCAGTGCCACAGGTGGGAAGTCTTTTGTGACGCGCTTGCCATGTGTATAAGGTAAACCAAGAACCCTCGAGCATGTGACTTCAGACCGCGAACTAATGCTTGTTTCCAGCTCCCTCTTTGTGTTATACGGGCCATACCTCCCACGTCAGTCGATTTCAGCCCCGCCACCCCAAGACACGACAAGCTGCGACGAGGCAAAGGCCGTCGCAGCAATAGGGTTCGCGGTCAAGTTTGTTGGCGACCTGGCGGTCAACTTCAACTCCCAGATAAGCCAGCATGCCCTGCGATTAGCGAACCTCGCACCGCCCGCCCCGTTTGCTTGCTTTCTGGCCGTCGAGCATATGCACGTCGTCGAGGGAGACCTGCCAGACCCCAGCGAGCGGTACCTGGAGATATTTGAGACGTTGAAGACTTTTGGCAAACGCTGGAAAGTCGCAGGTTCGTGTCCATTGTGGTGTTCCGTATCTCATCACTTCATCGCTAACATCTTGCAGCCGATTTGCTCGACCTAGCCCTTGTACGGAGCAGGTCAGTAGACGTGTCTGATAATTGAGGTTTTGCCGCTTGTTCCTTGTGGCTGCAAAGCATGTCTCGGTACCACGGCCGATCCGGTCACTGGACTCAGCGCAGTCAACCAAACGCGGATTGTATAAAATTTCGATTCGCTGCCCAAAACCAGCGCATTACATGCTCCGTCAGTAAAACAACATGCTAGTCATTACACTACCATTACAAGATCTCAATCTCAAAGTCATCCTGGTTGAAGAAATCCCACGCTCGGGCCGCAATGTTGGTCGGGTTCAACGTCGCAGACGATGGGCTGACGGGGCCACCGACGGCAATCACACCGACGTGTACACCCTGAGGCTTGTATACATCCGACAAGGACTGCACCATGTTTCGCTGCGCGGCCTTGACCATGGAGAGGATGAAGAGATCCGCGATCGGATACTTGGGCAGCAGGGAGCTCGTGACGAGGAAGGAAGGCCGTGCTTGAGAGTCGGAGCGCTTGAGGTCGGCGAGCTGGGGGAACGCCCACTCGGCGGCGGCATATAGAGCCGTACAGTTAATCTAGCGAATGCGTTAGGATACCACACCATTTGAAGCGCCTGTGGATACGCTGGACTTTGAACACCGACCTTGAAGTCGTACAGGATGTCCTCTTCCGTTGCCTGGAAAAACGGCGTGGGGATGATCCTCGCGGCGTTGAAGTAGACACACTCGGGCGTGCCAACGACGCGGCCTATGTTCTCGAGCTCGGCGCGGAACTTGGCCGAGTCGGTAATGTCGACCGCAAACGTCTGGACGTCGACTTTTCCATCAACAACGGCGGCCTCAACCGCGGCCTTGTCCTCGGCGAGCTGGGTCGGGTTCCGTGCCACTAGCGCAATCTTGTTGAACCTCTTGCGGGCGTACTCGATGGCTACGTGTCGGCCGATGCCAGGCCCGGAGCCAATCAGCACGAGAGATCGGTCGGTTCGGTTGGCCATTGCTTTGGTGTTGAGTTTTCGAGTTGTATCGCTAGTCAGAGGGCTGCAAATGTTGATGGGCCCTTGTACAAGAAAGCAGGTACTGCTGTCTCTTTATACCATGGCGTAGCCATGCCGGAGAGATGCAGCAGAGGCTGTGTGCAGGGAAGGCTTGATTCCCACCAGACGGAGCAGGAGCGGGAGCGGATGCGGATGCGGAGTCCTCGCTTACCGGCATCTTCCTTGCTGTGTGGCTTGTTCGCGGAATCATGTATGAAGTCATCGTCGGGTAAGATCTGTGGTCTGTGCTGTAGTGCACAGGTCTCAAAGCAGAGCAGGTGTTTTCCGGGTGGTTGTCCCTGCTGTGCTCCGTGTAAGCCACCCGCGGGAGGTGGAGTGCTGTAGACGGGACCCTGCAGGTGCGGACGCATGTGCGGGTGCGGGTGCGGGTTCCTTGTGGAGTCCAGCTCCGGGGTTACCGGTGCGGCGGGGCTGAGCCACGATGGTGGACACCGCCTCCAGCAGAAGTTAAGCAGTATGACGGCGATTGAGTACCGGCTTGACTGCACTGAACACGGCACAGACTTCTTTCGCTCATACCTAAGGTGAGAATAGCTATGTGGCAATCATCCATGTTCAGCGATCGTGGTTTCGCTGGAATCTTCCTCCCAGCAGCAGCCAAGAACATGAACAGTTTCAGGCACCAGCGTGTAAGTGAAGTGGTGCACGTAGTGTAACCACATCGCAGCACGGCATGCCCTTGACCAGTACCGCAATCTCATCTAATTCCTGCTGTTTCCGGATACTTCTAGAACCAGTCGTGTATGTCGACAGGCTACGTCAGTACGAGTCGAAGGATCCGCCTACTGGCAAGATGTGCATGTCCCGCTTCCCGTTGACCCTACAAAAAGCGGAAGTGCATCAGACTCTGGCCACAGCGCCACAGCCTGGAGGTAGAGGCCAAGAAGGCAGTCTGCCTCGCATCAACTTATGCACAGGTGCAGTCTCATGTATGGTACTCGGTGGATCGAAGCCCTTGAACGTGTAACGCAGAGCTCCCCGACAAGATGCTGAATAGTAATCATGATAGACCGTTGTCGCGCTGTGAACTGACTAGGCTATGAAGCTCAAGTGACTCGTTTTATTAATCTACTCCCAACTACCAACGGTCCGACCAGCGATGATTCCACAGCATGCGCGCATACAAGTACGGCGTTGAGCGTGTCGCCCCTTATAAGTTCCCAAAGACCAGCACTCGTCGTCAGGAACATGTAAATACCGTCGCGAGCTCTTTAGATTTATACAGAATCGAACTATCTTACACCTTGCCTCCAACTTTGCAGCAAATTTATCGCCATTTCGACTTCTCTACGCAACCATGGCGCCCAAGATTGCTATCGTGTTCGTACGTATGACCGTACAACAATGGCCAGACAACTGAGACCATCGCCGGGCTCAGTCTGCTCAGAGCACCCACAACAATAGACTAATGCCTGAGGTTCACGCAGTATTCCATGTATGGACACATACAGAAGCTCGCAGAGGCCGAAAAGGCAGGCATCGAACAAGCCGGCGGCCAGGTCGACCTGTACCAGATCCCCGAGACCCTTCCCGACGGCATCCTGGGCATGATGCACGCTCCCCCCAAGCCGAGCGACATTCCTGTTCTCGAAGACCCGCAAACCCTCGCTGCCTACGACGGGTTCCTGCTCGGAATCCCGACCCGCTACGGCAACATGCCTACACAGTGGAAGGTGTGTGGACATCTCTAATGCTAGCGTCGATGCCTAGATTGCTCATATCTAACACGATTATCCCACTATATAGGCATTTTGGGATAGAACCAGTGGCGTCTGGACCTCTGGCGGCTTCCACGGAAAGTACGCCGGCATCTTCGTGTCGACCGGTACACTGGGTGGCGGGCAGGAGTCGACCAACCTTTCTGCCATGTCCACCTTGAGCCACCATGGAATCATCTACGTCCCGCTGGGATACGCCAAGTCTTTCGGACAGCTGACCAACATGGGCGAGATTCACGGCGGCAGCCCTTGGGGCGCGGGTACCTTTGCTGGCCCCGACGGCTCGCGTCAGCCGACTGCTCTTGAGACGGAAATTGCCACGATACAAGGAAAGACTTTCTACGAGACTGTTGCCAAGGCTTGCGCCTAAGTACATGGTCACAGCTCCTGGGGATCTTCTGAATAGGCTTCAGGAATGATAGAGATGGGGTAGCTGGGCCGGTAGACAGGGAATTGTGACAGAAGCGGAGAGGGAAAAAGGCATTTGAGTACTCCACCAAACTTACATTCTAGATGTCCGATCAATTGATGTAACTCGTACACAACGCTTCCGGTGTCTACGTCCATTTCCTACCCTTGGCTCTTATAGCTAGACATTTAGCGACAAGTCTGGGGCATTCCAGTCTGCATTGTTCTAAGCCATGGGCCCGCATCTTCCGTTAAATGTGCATTGTGATACTATCGTCCTTGGGGCAGCCGCAGGCGACGCCTTTTTGTACAGCAAAATACTCGCAGGTTTTTCTTTCAATCGCAGCTGGTGTTGTCCCTAGCGGGGGCATCCATCCCGCGTTCCGTTCTCTTTCGTGCATTCCCGATAGTGACATGATAAGTCGAAGTCATGGGCTTAGTGGCAACCCACTCCATGTCGTGGCGCTGACCAGATGCTCCCGTCAGGGCTCCAGTTAGACTGCAGTGGGATTAAATCGCATGTACAATTGTAGATCCGTACAACACGAAGATCTTCCAAGGCATGATGTGTTTAAATTCGCCCCTGGCCGGATTGAAGAGCGCTTCCTACTCAGCGGCCTTACAAGAGTCAACCCGAATCGCCGTCAACGGGTGCAAGCGCCAGCCATGTCCGCCACGCCCTACCATCAGCCTCACCGATACAAACGGCGATTATTACCCCACACCACATGGCGTGCCGCGGGAATTCAAGGTTAAAACCGGCAGTCCCATATCAACGCCCTTGCCGAGACAAGGGCGTGGTCAGGTCAGTGACGTCCACGGCGAGTGCGATTCCGGAGCCCCGACACCATTTAAGTTGCAGAGCGACTCATGTCGAAGGCCACCTGGGAGTGTATCAAGCAACTCACTTTCAACACGATTGGAACGTTCAAAATTAATCGAAGGTACCCTTGCGACTGCGACAAAATGAAGGACGTCCAGGAGTTCAAGATCGACCACTGGAGTGAGTACCACGCGCCCGGTTCCACTTGCGAATGGCGACTCATCGATACCAGACACGGGACAAAGCTAACGCTGGTTGCCAGTCCGAACTTACGGTGTTTGTGTCCTCGCCAATTCTCGTCCTAACAATACTGACATGATTGCGTGTAGCCTCAAAGCCGCTATGAGCTTCATGGTAATCGCACTTCCTTATCCAGTCGCTGTTCAAGGCTGACCCGGCCAGGCTCATACGCGTCCGCATTGTCCTTGAACGACCTCAAGGCCCTCTCCAGCGACCCTTCTCTGGAGCTCTTCGACCCAGACCTACAGCTCACGTACGGCTCATTTGAGGGCTCGCAACGCCTGCGCGAGCGCATTGCCGCGCTGCACTCCACGCCAGAATGCACGCTCAGCGCCGACGACGTGCTCATCACGCCGGGGTCAATCATGGCCAATTTCCTCGTGCTGGACGCCGTCTCTGGGCCGGGCGAGCACGTCATCTGCCAGTACCCGACGTTTGGACAGCTGTACCTGCTGCCCAAGTTTAGCGGCGTGGACGTCAGCCTCTGGAAGATGGACGAGGGCAACGGGTGGATGCCGAGCCTGGAGGAGCTGGAGCGATTGATCAAGCCCAACACCAAGGCCATCATTCTCAAGTCAGACTCCCCTACCCGTGTACAGCACTCCCTGGTTTACTTGTCTCACTGACGCATCGTGGTATAACAGCAACCCGAGTAATCCGACCGGCGCAATCCTTGGCAAGGAGTTCTTGGAGAAGGTCATTGCAATTGCTCGCAAGTCCAACATCCTCGTCTTCTCCGACGAGGTGTACAGCCCATTGTTCTTCACGCCCGATCGGCCTCCTTCTTTCGTGACAATGGGATACGACCGCAGCGTCGTGACGAGCTCGCTGTCCAAGTCCTTTGCCATCCCCGGTGTACGAATCGGTTGGGTCGTGACGCGCGACGCGGCCCTGCTACGGCGGATCAGCATGGCTCGCGACTTCACCACCATCTCTGTATCTCAGCTCGATGACGCAGTCGCAGCGTTTGCCCTGGACGAAAAGGTGCTGCCCGCGCTGGTGGAGCGCAATCTCGCGCTGTGCAGAGAGAGCATCGGTTTGCTGGAGGGCTTCGTGGAGAGGAGCAAGGGCAGGGTGCAGTGGATGAAACCAGACGGCGCGGGCACGGCGTTCATCAAAGTGCTGGATCGTGAGGGCAAGCCGGTTGACGATGTCGAGTTCAGCAAGAAGCTGGTGAGCGAGGAGAGCGTGTGCGTCATTGCGGGTGGGCATTGCTTTGGCGAGGGCGATGCGGAAGACTTCAAGGGGTATGTGAGGATCACACTGGGAGATCCGAAGTTACTGCAAGAGAGCCTGCCACTGTTGGAGAGGTTCATCCAGAAGTACTAGAACATTCGTTCAATTTGGACATAATAACGTGGTGCGAATCGCTGAACATGCCACGTTCGCCCTTTGCGTGTGTTCGGACGAAATGGAAGGCATCTGCACCCGGCGTAATTTAACCGCACGTGGGCCATCAATGTTTACAGTGATTCACAGACTGTTTTTTGGATGTATCCAGGGATCGTGAGGGAGGCAAAGCTTCATCCTTCCCGACTATAAATAGTCCATCCATCCCCCTCCTGTTGCACTGCTTTTCCCTCTCTCCCAGTCGTCACAGCTTGCAGCTTTCATCACTCCAAGGCAGCCCTCCAACATCCGATACCAGCTAGAAACATCCAGTCGAAAAACAAAGGTCTTTGAACGGTTAGTTACGCCTCATCTGGGACTTCCAGGCCGCCTCTGGACATGGAGTGTGTCCTCGCACACTGTCCCAACCTCCTACTATTCCTACGCCCTCCGCACCTACGGAGCTTGAACAGCAGTGAAAGCGACATTCACAACAGCCGTCTCATTACAGCGGCGGTGGACTCGTCAATATCGGACCCAAGCGATACCTTCCGTCTCCTACCATGGCACATGCGACTGCCGGACCATTTCGACATGATACTTACAAAATGTCGAACAGTTCACGGCAATGGCATACCCCAGACGGACCGGATACCTGCCGCCGGAGTTGATGGACGAGATCGACAATTCTCTCGCGGCTCGCAAGCGTCAAGTCGCCGAAAGAATAACCAGCCTTGAGGGTTTTCGCTTTCAGAGATCTGGTGTGATCATCGAACGATCCATCAGAAACACAGAGATTGTCGCCGCTCTCGCCAAGGACGGGAACTTGGTGTCTCGACAGACTGCGGAAGCACGTGCCGTAGCATATGTCAAGGGACTCCTCATGGCAGCCAACAGGCTGTGGCCGCTGGTTGTCCAGACAGGCAAACGACTTTTCTTCCGCCAGCTGGCCCAAGGCTCCTTCAACAGGATGGACGTATCTCTATCTCGGAACCAGATCGAGCTCCTGCTCCCCGCCCTCGTGCGCGCCAGGGAGCACCACCTCGTACGAATTGCGGCGCAGACCAACGCCCCGCCGACGCAGCAGTATTCGGCACCGACAGACATGACCGAGGCAGCGGCACAGTACCTGATGGTTCGCATGACGGAAATCCTGCGCACCGAGGGCATCGTCTTCAGAGGCGTGCCAATGTCGCAGCGAGAAAGGGCCGAGGTGAGGGAGCGGGCGCGACCGATGGGCCAGGCAAGGCGGAACAACAGACGTGGCACCAGGCTGTCCACCAGCACGTTTGTTCAATCCTTGGTCCCGATCACGGAGATGGGAAGGCAGGCCTCCGGCGGAAGGACCGCAACTGAATGGTTTGCGCTGATTGACCACATTGGAGCGATGGATGGGGGTCTTGCTGGACGTACGCGCGGTTAAGATCATGCTGTTACGGCTATATTCGACTGGCGAAGAAGCGGTGGACTTGCGGTATTATGTGTCAACGGGTCGGCGGCGTCGGATGCTCGGATAGCTTGACTGCTGGTGGTGGTTCATGTTTCCAGTTTTGGCGTTTCTGGTTTGGCGACGACGGGTGTTTGGGACTTTGGCCGCTACTATGCACGCGTGGAGTTGGGAGTCTGGCGACTGGCGATGGGGCTGATAAAAAGGGTCCTCGTAATAGCAGCTCTGTCCAATACAGCACGCACTGCCCGGAAGGCTTTCACGACACTGAACACGAGAATCCCGTCTCAATTGTGCAACGTCATCTACCATGCCATGAAGCAAACTCCAGGAGCCTAGGAGCGCCGTCGGGACCGAGCCAGCTGACTGCATGTGGATGAATGCAATGTCCCCAGAACAAAATGCACCAGGCCCAGAAACAGGAAACTCGTATAAGCTCGGAGCGAAGTCGGCAGACACTAGGTGCCCCGGACCAAGGAATCTTGATGTGCAAGAACGTGTGCTGATTCCATTTGGAGCACTCCGATGGAGCGTCCAGAAGGACTTAAGAATTTTGAGTATCGGGTAAGCTTGAATCCCGAGGCCCACGTGCGGGCCGGGGGGTCGCGACTTGCCTCTGGCATCATCACCACCCCGCCAATCCGACGACGCAGATTATGAATGAAAGGACCGTCGCACCCACCCCAGGGTGCGCGATAATCGAACCCTAATATCGCGAGCGATGCTATTCCCGTACTCGCGACGACCGCGGGGTTGGGGCAGATGTTCCCCGACGGGGTCCCAGTACAAGTAGGTGACGGCGCGGCGTCGAGCGAAGTCATCATCGAAGACTCCATCGCGACCAATCCGCAGCGCCACGGCGTGCACGTTTGCGCTTGTCCCTGCCGATCGCTCCCCAGCCCGCAGAACCTCGTGCGCGCGATGGCCTCGACACATTGGCCGCTGCTTCTCTTCTGGGACACCGAGTCTCTCGGCCGCGTCGGCTAAGAGATCGCGTGCCTGGCCCCCGCCGCAATGCAGAAACGTCAAATGACACCGCCGCTTCGTTCTTGCCCGCACAGTAATGTCGACATCCCGACTGGCGCGACTGGCGCCTAGGGGGGGTTCCGGACGCGATGCGACGAAACGTGGATGTATCGACGTGCTGTCGTTGGATAGCGACGTGTCGCCGTCGTCGGCCGAGCAGGCGGAGGAGGCAGCCGGAGGACATGTTCCCCAGACGCAGCAATGGCGACGGCCGGATGCAACCTTGAACGATACTGCAGCGTATGGTACCCCTAGATCACGCATATAACGCTCTCGGTCCGCCTGGGCGAAGTCACCCTGATGGATCCGATCCAAGCAGCTTGATCGACACTCTCAAGAGCAGAGTTGAGGCATCGAAAAATGCGGTCGTTTGCCTTCCTTTCCGCGGCCAGCCTGCTGGCGGCCACCGCCAGCGCCAGCTTCGACGGCAACATCAACTACGGCAGCCCGTCGCGCCGCCATGCCAGCCTTGGCATCGACGTCGACAAGGTTGAGCGCCGCTCCTGGAAGCGCGGCAACGTCGCCCACTCGCCCGACGAGCTGAGCTTCACACACGGCGTTGCCTCTGGTGACCCTTGGCCCGAGAGCGTCATCCTCTGGACGCGCATTGCGCCCTCCAACGAGTCAGACCAGAACGACGTCACCGTCGCCGGAACTGTCCCTCTCTACGACCACGAGACGGAAAAGTATGTCAAGGCGGACCCGAACCCCATCTGCGTTGAATGGAAGGTCTTCAAGAGCAAGTGCGCCAACGACACCAACGTCAATGTCGTCGCCAACGGCAAGGCCTACACCACCTCGGACATTGACTACACCGTCAAGGTATGCCTTCGGCGTCTAAGCAAAGAAGACTACATACTGATCATATTGCAGGTCGAGGCCAAGGGTCTCAAGCCCCTCACCAAGTACTGGTACCAGTTCACCGTGTGCGGCTCCAGCAACAAGTCTCCCATCGGCCGCACCAAGACGGCGCCTAAGAAGAACGACGATGTCTCCAAGCTGAGCTTTGCCGTCTTCTCGTGCAGCAACTTCCGTGAGTTGAGACTCCGGTGGCTTCTGACGATTCCTTGAGTGTATGCCATGCTGACCGCCGCAGCCAATGGCTACTTCAATGCGTACGGCAATGCTGCCCGCAAGGACAAGCACGACTATGTCATCCACCTCGGCGACTACATCTATGAGACTGGCAAGGGTGGCGAGCGTGCGACCAAGCCTACTGGCACCATCTTCACGCTCGGCGACTACCGTACTCGCCACGGACTGGTAGGTCGCCACTGTGTTGACGTTGGGTCGAGTATCGCTAACCAGCCCAGTACCGCTCCGACGCGGACCTGCAGCTTCTGTCCAAGAACTTTGCCTGGATTCCCACCTGGGATGACCACGGTTAGTCATTCTGGCTTTACAACAATGACCTTGCATTGACACGGCGCAGAGTTCGCCAACAACGGCTACCGTGACGGCTTCAGCGGCCTCAACAACACTGAGGAGTCCTTCCTGAACGACGGGCCCAAGACCGGCCCCAAGGTTACCGTTGACAGCCGCAAGGTCAACGCTGTCCGCGCCTACTTTGAGTGGATGCCCATTCGGTAAGTTCTCCCAAAAGGCATATCATGGCCACGACACTGACCTTGCAGACAAACCGATCTGGATGACGGCCTCCGCGTGTGGCGCTCGTTCCAGATGGGCAAGCTGCTGGACCTCATCATCCTCGACACCCGCAACTACGACCGCAGCATCACCTCCCTCGGTATGCCATCCTGATGTTCGAGATTTGAATGCGACTGACCGAGCCAGGCTGGAACGACCACTACATTGACCTCATCCGCGACGACCCCAGCCGCACCCTGATGGGCTCCCGCCAGGAGAACTGGTTCTACCGCTCGCTGAGCGAGTCCCAGAACCGCGGCGCCAAGTGGCGTATCGTCGGCAACCAGATTGTCTTTTCTCGCATCCTCGAGAACGACAGCGGCTCGCTGAGCGGCGACAACTGGAGTGTAAGTCGCTCCCCTCCCTTCTGCTGTCGCGAGGGGTGCTGACCGCTTAGGGCTACCTCGCCAACCGCAACCGCACGCTGCAGCACATGTACGACAACGGCATCACCAACAACATCTTCCTCGCCGGCGACAGCCACCAGAACTGGGTGTCGGACATTACATGGCTGGGCAACAAGCCTTACAACAAGGACTCGGGCGAGGGTGCCGTGGGTGTCGAGTTTGCCGGCACGGCCGTCACGTCGAGCGGGCAGAAGGGCCTCATCGAGCCTGCTGCCGGCAACTACGCGCGCGGCATGATTGCGCGCAACGACGAGATGCAGTGGCAGGAGGGCTACTACCGCGGCTACTTTGTCCTGACGGTGGCTCCCGACCAGGCGACAGCGCAGTTTTACGGTACGTTTTGACTTCTCCTTCGTAGCATGTTTTGGCAGCAAGATCATAGGCGACGAGTACTGACTGCTATCCACAGGCTCCCCTTCGGTCGCGACGCGCAACTCGTGGGACCTGCCGCTGGCCAACTTCACCGTCAAGGCCGGGACGAACCACCTGGCACGCCCCATTGCCGGCGGCAAGGTCGAGTCTGGTGCCATCCGTGGCGGCGAGGTCAAGCACACGAACCTGACGCTCAACACTGACACCAAGGAGTGGAAGGTCATTGGCTTCGAGAAGATGTTCATCTAAGAACCGCGGAAGGAAGTGGGCAACAAAAATGGCTAAGACACAAAGAAAGAAGCAAATATTCTGTATATAGTTTTACCTTCAAAGACGGCACAGCAGGGCTAGCTTGGTAGCTTAGTAGCCACCTGCATGAATGAGCAACGCATGAGACGCGATGACGCAGGCTGTCTCGGCCAGTGGCCAGGTTGGTGATGAGATTGATCATGCGGCAAATGAGGCTCGTTGACGCCTCGATGCAGATCTCGGCTCAGGATATCCGAGCGAGTGGCGGGCGAGAGGCTAGTGGTGGTTTTAGTGGTGGTGCGTTTCGCGCTGCGTGTGCCAGCGCCAGCGAACTCCCATCGTTTGCCCTAGGGATTGCTCATGCTCTCCACGTCGAGCCTTACCGCTGGCCAAGTTTTAATATCCAACAGAAATAAGCAGTCAAAAGCAGAATGCAACGTGGCGGCGATGTATGACAACACCCAGGCTGCCACGACATCGCAGCGTTGGGCGTGATGGAGTTGGCAGTGTGCCGCAAGTACCCGACACTGGCACCCCAAGTACGGAGTAGAAGGTCTCCGTCTGAGCTTGAGCACATGCGTATGCACGGCATCATGCTACTGCTCGTGGACAAATGCATGCAACGCGACGGACCTCCTCCGGCGGGGGCGCAGGGACGCTGTGTAGTGTGTACGGTGTCTGACCTGCAACGCAGGCGCCCTGTGCTGTGCTCACAGGTACATGGACTGTAAAGGCTCCTCGAGTACAGCGGTAACAAAGTCCTCCAGGTTAACCAGCGGAACCACCAGTCCACAAAACCGTGAAGCCGCACCTTGGTCAAGCTGCGGGAAAGCAACGACGTACGCCGAGACCGAGTCGGCCAAGCTCCACGATACAATCAAGTTGCATGAACCAAGCTTGACAGTCAGTTGACACAATTCCCGGCCAGCCCGTCCTGCCCGGGGCCAGGCGAAGCCAAGCCAAGCCAAGCCATTGGCATCTGACAAGCGGGCACCCTCGCAGCTTCGCAAGCTGCAGCTGAACCGCGCCACAGCAGATCTCGACGACAAACAACGGTTCGGCCGACGGGCATGGCTGGCAACGCTGGGTCGAGAACCAGAACCAAAACCAGAACCAGAACCATGGCTGGCGTCTCAGTCCGCTGAAGACGCTGCCCGCCCCAGTGACCGTTTAGCGGGTCTGCTAACGCCGGGAGTCGCCCGAGGGGTCGCCAGGGCCCGCTGCCATTGGCCTGCCCGGGCCCTTACTGAGCGGCCGGCTTCTCGGCACAGCACTCTGACGTCACGCTTGGCTGCTGAGCGTCCAGGGCTGCTCCTGCTGCTTTGCTGCGCTTCGCGTGGCCATGCGCGGCGGGAGGAAGGCGCGCAGGATTGGATCCCATCGTGACAGCCAGCCGGGCCCGACTCGGAGGATTTCAGGCAAAAAGTTGGTCGCGACATGTGCTTTAATCCCCTTTCTTCCCCTTCCATTTCTCCCCGCTTAGGGCCATTCCCGACAAATCGTACAACAAAGCTCTTTCATGGTTTGCGACCGTGAGACATGAACGGAACGGCGAGAAACGGTCATTAGCCCGCTTCCTTCAGCCACCATCTCGTTGTGACTGCTCAGCTCCCAAATCACAATCCCGCGCGCGCCGGAAGCCAACCGCGGCGCGATTCGCTCCATATCCTCTGCGAACGAACGACCGGATTGACGGCGACATAACCTACGAGGGTAGCTGCCTTTTCACTGAACCTCGGGGACTCACTTAATGGAATAGACGCCACAGTCTCTGCCGTCGTCGCTCTCGCACCCGCCGACAGTTACCTGCGACCCAAAACGACCACAGAAGCCTCTCGCTCCTGGCGCAATGACGGACAGCGGCGACATATCACCCGGCACAGTCAACGGTGTCTCTCATGAGGCATCTGCGACCAACGCGCCTCAACAGCCCACGACCAACGGCAACCTGCCATTGCAAGACGAGGTGCGGGCCCAGCAGGACCAGGCCCAGCAAACCCCGGCTCAGCAGAACGGTCAGCAGAACGGAGCCCCCAATGGCAATGACGCCTCCCCGCAGAAGCCCGAATCTCGTGCGACAGGCCTCAAGAAAACAGTCAATCCTATAAAGAAGGGCCCGCCTGGAGGTTTCGATACGACGCCTCTCCCCGATGCGCCGCCGGGCTACACAGTCCGATTCTGCTTCCGATGCGCTGCCAATCTCCCCCCCGCCGACTTCAACACGGCCTCTTCGGATCCCTTCTTGACGGCTACACTAAAGGCCGCGAACCCCAAGCGCCACAAGGAGGACCCTGATCTCGTGCACCGGACGCGCACGCTGCGGCGGACGACGGAGCCGGAATGGAACGACGAGTGGGTTGTCGCCAATGTACCGCGCACGGGTTTCACGCTCAAGTGCCGTCTCTACGATGAGGACTCCCCCGATAGCGACGATCGTCTCGGAAACGTCACGATACGCGTGCCCCAAGTCTTCGAGCAGTGGGAGGGCCTGCCGCCGCCCGGAAAGGAATTCGGAGCCAAGAAGCGCATGATCAGCAAGCGGGCGTTTCTGCTCAAGGGCCTTTCCAGCATCCTTCATTCAGGGACACACATCACCCCGCGGCTCACCGTCAGCATCGAGGTCCTTGGACGCTCGGATCCGCCGCATGCGCAAATGTACACGCTGGGGCCCACGACCTGGATCAAACATTTCAGCCCCATGATTGGGCGCCTGACGGGTATCAAGGTCAATGCCAACGAGGAGGAGGACCAGAACGGAGCGTCAAGCCAGGCCTCCTCGGGCGAAGCCGAAGGCAAGGGCAAGGGCAAAGGGAAGGGGAAGGGGAAAAGCAAGAAATATGAGTAAGTCTGAGAGCAACAATTTTCACACCCTCGCTAACAGCAATTAGTTTCCAAGCCAACGAAATGCAGCTCCAAGGCCCAGTGCCGCCGTCGCTGTACCACCGCTACGTCCAGTTCCGCCCCGTCATTGGCGCCATGTTTGCGTCGACGGGCTTGCGCGGCAAGATTCTCAACGCCGCACTGCACAAGCAGCATAACCGCATCTACAATTTCGATCGTTCGACCGAGTACGGGACGTTTGAGCCATGCACGGAGAATGCGGCGCTGCAGTTCCTCCGCATGGCACACTTTGACGAAGGCGGCCGCGTCTTTACGTACGTGCTGACCCTCGACGGACTACTGCGTTTCACCGAGACGGGCAAGGAGTTTGGCATCGATCTGCTGAGCAAGCATACCATGCACTCCAACGTCGAGACGTATATCGCCTGCTCAGGCGAGTTCTTTATCCGCCGGCTACAGCACGCGCACACCACGGATAATCCGGATCCGCACGAGAAGACGCATCCCACGGAAGAGCTCTCTGGCGGCCCACCCAAGTCCGATCCGCCACCGAACCCGTCGTATTACCAGCTCGTCATTGACAATGATTCGGGCACGTATCGCCCTGACAAGTCGATCCTGCCCGATCTCAAAGCATTCCTGCACAGAAATTTTCCCGGGCTTGGCGTCGTGGCAATGCACTGGGAAGAGGAGAAGCTGCAAAAGATGAAGGAGGCGCAGCGCAATGTCAAGAAGAAGGAAGGCCGCATGATCAATGTGGTCATGAACAGCAGCATGAGCAGCCTCAGCTCGGCGGAAAGCGATCTCGACGCGCGAGACACGGGCTGGGAGCAAGGAAAGAAGAGCAAAAGGGAGGCGGCGCTGGAAGCCGTCGAGGATCCCTCAAAGCTCAAGGACGTGTTTGGGCAGGTATCCCACCACAAGCACGGGGAGAGCAGCAAGGCCTGAGCCGAGGGTGCCTGGTCTCCGGAACAGGAATGGCCTGGACAGTCTGATTTTGGGATGATGATGATGTGCGATGATTCCCCCTGTAGTTTCTCGCTTCTAATACCAGTCCCCCGTTGTATGTTGTCTATGTGCAATTCTTCACGGATGTTTCCGCGGTCGTACTTTAGTCTTTCACAACCGGGGCTTGACGGCTACCCAGACGCTCTCCGCCACGGCAAGCTTCTCGCCTTTTCCGTTGGTGACCTCTGCCTTCATGATGGTTTTCCGCCCCTGCATCCCCTCGACCCAGGACGTGACGCAGATGGCCTTCTCCGCCGTCGCCACCGGGGCGAGGAACTTTACGCTGAGAGACGCAGTGACGCTGCTCGCGGAGAAGAGGCTGCCCTCCTTGCCGAGCGCAGTGTTGAGCTCGTTGACGACGCCGAGGCTCTCGTCCAGGATCGTGGCTGTGAGGCCGCCGTGCACGATGCCCTCGTAGCCCGACGTGCCGTCGCCGAGGGCAAAGAGCGTCGCGACGCGGAGGATGGGCCGCGAGGGGTCGCGCAGCTCCGTGTCGTCGGCGGGTCGAAACAGCGAGAGCAGGTGCCGGATTGGTGGGCCCCTCGTACGACCCTCCCCCTCGCCTTCAGAAGAGCCAGAAGAATGGGACCCGGCGTCGGGATGCCCGTGGGAGAGGGTCCGTCCGACGAACTGGTCGTGCCGCGCGCTGACGGGGTTGAAGCACTGCGGGATAAAGGCGATGGCTTGTCCGTGGCCGGGGAGGCGGCCCGCGGAGGGGCTGTGGTCGTTGATGAGGGCGGCGCACCAGGGGAGGGAGTTGAAGTAGGAGACGGCGGAGGGGAAGAGGTGCGGTGGGGTGTTGGGCGGGAGGAGGTTGAGGGGAGGGGAGAGGACGCGGTTGAGGGGGGAGAGGGTGGCGACGGCGGAGGGGGAGGACGAGGATGAGGGAGGGAGCTTTTCGGACATTGTGGTGGTGGTGAAGTGTGCGGTTGCGCGATGAGGATGAGATGGCGCGTGGTGAAGATGGTTCGGTTGAGGTTGATGGTGGTGTACAATCCGAGATGGAGATTGAAGACTGTGGTGGAGTGAGACAGTTACTGCGGCGGCGGGAGTTCTGTGACTGGACTGGTTCCCGTTCGGCTAGTGAGAGCCGAGGTCGACGACTTGTGCCGATCAATAAGCTTGTTCCTGTTCCTGGGCTGGGGTAGGCGGGGGGCCTTTGGGGGAGGGGCGGAAAACTTGGAGCGGGCCGCCGAATAATAGATGAGGTTTGATGTGCACATTGCACAAGCTTGTGTACCTCGTAGTCAGGCGGTGCCGGGACGAATTCGGCCAGCGGCCAGCGCACTTGCAGGGCGGCATCAATGCCAAAAGGGATGTATGCCGTGAGTCGGAGCAACAACTTGGGCCACATATCCGCCCAGACTGACTGGCCATTTGCGAGTCCCTGTGCGAATGCGAACTTAGTACCACCAGATCGACCGAGTCCAATGTTTGCCTTTGTCGTTAGCGACATGAACTGTGACGGCGCGACGCTGACGAACGGTAAGCACTGTGGGAGCGTCGCAGACTGGCGATGCCTTCGCAGTCCCGTACGCAGCCTAGCAGTGAGGTTTACACGAGGCGGCGATCCTGAGGTTCAGGGGCATATGTGATTGAGGAGGCTCAGCAACCCCACGGCCAAGCGCAATGCGCGCCGGTGTATGCACATTTACACAGACGGTTCCTCGCTGCCCACCCGTGACCCGCAACGCGCCAGACGGCTCTACAGGGGGGCAGGGCACATTGTCCATAGGTACCCTCGGGCTTCCATTATCCCCTGTAGCCAGTCGCCCGGACCGACCCATAACCGTCAACGCACGAGACAGTTCGTTGCCGTGTCATCGGGTAAGGTGAAATCATTGAGGAAACTAAATTGTGGCATTCTACTCTACCAGCGTTGATTGGCCTGGGCTATTGAACGGTGTGTGGCAGATCTGCTGCCTTTGGGCAGACGCATGGGAGGGCAGGACACTTTATCCCTGCCCTCCTTCATCCCCTGTAGCCAGACGCCCGGCCCACCCATGACCGTCAACGCACGAGACGGTTGTATAGGAGGGCACGACACTTCGTCCATGCCCTCCATGATCCTTTGTAGCCAGATACTCAGCCCAAGCCAGGGCTTCTCATGCGGCCGTGAAAAATTTCTCTGCTCTTGTCACCGTCCATCCGGGCCATCCGCGGTGAACAGAGTCACGACTAGTTGCGCCATCTGGCTCAAGTGCAAACTGTCTTGCGTTCAAGCTGTTGAGGTAAAGTAAAAGAAAAGAATTTTTTTCCTGTTTATGGAAAGGGATAAATGATGGAGTATCCCAAGCATGGAAGAAACACGAATCATCAATCATTCATCTTTACGTGTACTTAAACGATCCACAATATCCCATACTCGACATCAATGTGTACGTGCACTTATCATCAGCAGCATTGCCCCGTTGGTATCTTTCCCACTCCAACATAGATTCTGAGCTACCTCTAGTGTGACAGTTTGTAGATGTTGAAGAGGGAAACCAGACGCCATGGCATATTCCCAACACCAGGCGTTTTGCAGGGCTCGCCATTGCGTTGGGTACTTGGCACGATGTTGGCGGGGGGCTGGCCTTGCCGTGCAGTATATCATCATGCCTTGACGTGGATGGTGTCAAGGGCGGTTGGCGACACGGTAAAGGTTTTCAGTCGCAGGAGTCTCCTCGGGCATGGTTTCGCGTAGGTATCGAGCCAACATAGGGGGTACTTTGCCAGATGGATTCGTAGGTCCCTTCGGTTCTCTGCAGCCCATGACATGTCAGTATCTATCGGAAGGCACGAGGACATGGAAAATATACCGCGACAAGCCGGTGCCTTGACTGGTACCAATGGGGTCCACATGGTGGGAAGGGCATTGCTCGGTGTTGCTACGTCCTGTTTCAACATTCAAGGAGCAAAACGAGTTGGCGGCCATTGTGAACAAGGTCGGTTAACGAAAACGATGTGAAGAGGTAGCCCAAGGCGGCGTAATATAATCGAGGGACTAACGGGCTTGAATAGAAACGACACTGGGAAGAGGGCGTTGCCGGCGCTCTTATAAGTCGCCATGGTTCGCTTGACCAGAAGCTCTTCTTCATACAAAGGAGAGGTACGCCTTGTTAGCCGCACCTCCATCACAGGTAGCCGCTCTTGCGTTGTCAGTGGGCCGTCAAATTCACCATGCCAATGCTGGTGCTGACAACTTTGGGTCGCCCCGACCGGCAGTAGCCTCAGGTATTGGCCAAAAATGATTCAGCCATCCGACCCGGGGGGCGTATCTCCCATGTGGCAGGATCAGGAGACAGACTCACCGCGTCATGTTGCTACACGGGGACGTATGCAGGTTGGAGGGGCTCCTGCTGCATCCTTCCAGCTGAGAGTCGAATCGAGGGATTGTCGCTGGGCGCGGCCTGCGCGAGGGGCTGGCTTGGCTTGCTTTGCTAGGTACAGCGAAATCTGGCCCTGGAGACCCATGCAAAGTGCATTCTCGCTCGGCCTGGTTCGGCCAATCAGGTCTGCCAACGCCCCTCCATGATCGTGTGAAGGTGGCAAGCTTGCAGAATTCGCAAGCTCAAGCTTGCAGATCAAGCTCAAGCTTGCAGAATGTCCCAAGTTTGCAAGCTTGCAGAATGTCTCAAGTTTGCAAGCTTGCAGAATGTCCCAAGTTTGCAAGCTTGCAGAATGTCCCAAGTTTGCATTGCAAGCTTGCAGAACGTTGCGTTTTCGCATACGAAGCAAGACTACCTGGTTCACGTCCTTCGACCACCATGCATGCCATTCCGATATCGTGAGTCTCCACAAAGAAGGTTCAGACGAAGAGGTCTGCGCAATTGAAGCCATGTTGTTGTGGGATCATCTGTCTCGTCTCTGACCATAAACCCGCCATTACGGCGACGTACTTCAATGTTATCCTTCCATTTCCGTTCTTCTCAATTTTCTTGTTCCGTCCAGTTTTGATCCTCAGATGCCGCGCCTGACGAGTGCTCATCAATGTCATCACTATTTAACATCATTTTTCAATGTTCCGCTGTCATCAGCCCGACTCGTCCATGTCGCAGCCAACCATCCAGCCATGACACCAAACGCCCCGCTCAGGACAACCGACAGCCGCACTTCCAGTAATTTCTGCAGTCGTCCTCTAGCCCAGCGTAGTAGGACTGAGGGCTCTTTTTCACGTTGTAGATTGGGCCTTCGCAATGAGCGAAAGGTGCCAGGCACCCAAGCTGGACGCCGCCAGGCTCACGGCAGTGGATTGACCACGCGGCTGAAGTCACCGTTGGAAAGACGGTGGCGATGACAGTGAAAAGAGATTTCCGCATTGTGTCTTTGTGGTAATTGTATCGATGGGAAAGGAAATCGATAGGAACCCTGGACTAGTTCTTGAGGGCCTGGTGTATCGTGTCGCATCTGTCAGTCGAGATGCCAGAGGCTCGGCGTGCCCAACTTTATACTCCCTGAGTATATGATAAGCATATAATGGGCCAGGTATCGATACACAGGATGGACGTAAACGTTAAAGAGCAAAAGAGTGAAGGACGTCAAGGAGATATTGTCAGTAATATCTTGATTACGCGTCACAGTTCTTGGTATAGTTTATGAGTAGTTGTTGTTCGTCTACGCTAGGTCCTAGAAGAGGCTCCGTAGATATGATAGATATCGGCAACAACGATAAACCCCAGAGTTAGCCGCCAGGGCGTATGGTGGCGCGGCGATGCTATCAGTCACTACGCGCCCGAGACACACTGAAATCGGGCCGAACTCAGTGTTGGGTAATCCATTATTAGCCATTACTTTCAGCATATACACCCAGTAAATCACTCACAGAGCGCGCATTACATGCATCACAGTCCATGGTGTTTCAGAGTAGAAACCATTACGTTCTAAGGAGTCTTCTTATACACTAATTTCTCTGTTATCTACAGTTATTTCCCCTTGGTTTTGTATGAGTAGGCTAAGTAGCTAAAATAATACTTACGGTTTGGAGTAATCGCCACTGGCACCATACAGCTACCGTCACGCGCCATGTCATCTTGCTACTGCGTGGCTGCTGCGTAGATGACTTGCTGGCGACGTACAAAGTCACCCAGAGCATGGTTGATTTTGCGGAATAACTCACCCGAGCACGACTCTGCCGGGAGGGCTTGAGGGTGTGCGCCCGGGCGCACACCCCTCCCTTGGTCCAGCGCCCGGCCAGACTGCAATAGGCGTACGAGAATTGCGAGTCACAAAGCAAAGGCTAAATCATGCCTTGCCAGTTGACCGCCGGAAGGGATCCCATCTGGCAGTATGTCGGTATGTCTCTGGCCTCGCCCTTGGCACATCGTCTTGGAAGGCATAAAGCCATTCTGGCATCGCCCGTTTCTTTGCTGGTACGGTTTTGCTGCGATGCCCTTGGTTGTCTGTGCGAGTCGCCATGTGCTTTGCAACAGCTTGCGTTCCGCAGCAGATTGCTCGCCACAAGAGCTTGCGTGTGCATTCTTCTCTTCCGTGGTTCAGCAATTCAGGTGTGCCAACGACCCTCCATGATCTGCCCAAGTTGGGCAAACCTGCAGTAAATCACGTTTTGCCCAATTGCATGCGCGCAAGCCTATTAGAATCCCGCGGTCGCTCACTCAGACAAGTCAATCCGCACCCAATTCTAAGTTGTCTCCGCGAACTATGAGCTCCTCGTTTCAGTCACATCCGCGTGCCACATGCAGGTTACTGTGGGATAGGCTCCCTTGCCTTTGGTCACACAGCTCCGTCCACTATGTCTGCCGATACCACAATGACTTGACCTCATTTGTCCGTGTTCCCGTTCTTCGACCTCCGTTTCTGCTTAAGGTTCTGATCGCCTGACGCGTCCGCCGTCGACCCGTACTACCACGACTTCATGCAGCAATCTTGAGCAGTATGCATAAGTCTGTTCCAATGACTAACAAAGA